CCCCAAAATCAGAGACACCCCTTCAGGAAACGGCTGCTTCAGGCACCAGCTGCTGGGAGGAACAACTGCACTCCACCTGGCGTCACTACATTAGCAAGATAGAAGCATAGAGAGAAAAACCTTTGCGAAAGAGCTCTACCGTAATGTAATTCAGTTCTTCGTGTTCGCCCTGCCCTGGTGCCCTCTTTACCGCACGAAAGTGGGCATTGCAGCCCAGCATGCTTCATGAAGTAAAGTACAGTACCCCATGAAACAGCAACAGCCATACGTGGGGCGCTGGGGTAATGCTCTGGACAGAGTTGCTACCTTGAGGTCATCTATCTCGTATAAGAATTTTTCAGTTAACAATAGGCTTTGTTAGCGTCGTCAGTGAAATTGTGTCGCTGTAACTGATGAGTAGATTTGCAGTGATTTCTAACAAACAGAGTTGCTACTGGATAGTTTGCAGAATACAGTAGTTTCAGAAGTTGAACCAAACTTTGCTCTTTATACTGGATTATAAAGTTTTAGTGGACAACATGTAAGCATGTAATTTGAAAAATTTTTTGAAACAAAAATACTTAGATGATGCATGCGCTTCCATTTTGTAAACTGCTGTGGAAAAGGCCATGAGGGAAAAACAGGCTCTTGTTAGGGCACAGGAGAAAACGAAGTGCAGTGTGACAGGGGCCAAGCGTTTGTAACGTAAGCTTTTGATGGTTTTCTTTGCAGATGGCTACTCCTATGAAAAGGCTGCAATGGAAAACTGGCTCACCACGAAAAGGCGATCTAGTCCCATGACGAATCTCCCCCTCCCCTCTCTTCTGCTTACGCCCAACAGGACTCTGAAAATGGCTATCAGCCGCTGGCTGGAGACTCAGCAGAAACATAATGAAACCACTTAGCTCTGCAGTTGTTTACTAACGTTAATTGAAATGAAGCTGGCTGTAGCTAAAGAAAATAACGATGCTGAAAACAACTGGGGAAAAAACCCCTAAGTTTCTGTTCTAATCTGTGACGATCGTTTAAATGTTCATGCTAGAAATTACTGCCCGTGCCACCAAAACAACTACTAAAAAACTTTTCTTTAAGCTATTGATATCTTTACTTCACAGTATTTCTGTTTAACAACTAAAGCATTCAGAGTCGCAATTAGTTTTTAAAATAAAGGGGTTTTTTAAATTTTTTTGCTGCATTTATGAGTTTTAAGTCTTGATTTACAAAGATAATCTTTCAAAAGTTAAGAAATATCAACAGTGGGTAATCCTTATTCCTTATTCTCATTTAAAAAACAAAAAGTCAAAAAGTTGTCTTTTTTTTTTTCATATTACTAAACACGCAGTTGGAAAAGGTCAGAGAGAATTTCTCCTATACCCGTCAGAGTGCATCTCAGCCCACAGCCATAGCAATAGTCTTTATTTTGTATGGGAAAAGTACAGTAGCTGTGCAAAAACAGAACTACAGGACAAGAATAATAAGAAGACTTGTACAAAATATCAAAGGAACAGTAAATAAATAAGCTAAAGCATAACAATGCAAACTCAACAAGGAACTCGTAAGAATGGCTGTAAGGCTGTTTACAAGGTACACACAACACCGTACACAGACAGGGATGGAAAAGTGACCGAATATGTCAAGTTAATCGCCTCAACCCGACCCTCGTAGGAACGTCACTGCGTTTGTTTATTTTCAGAACAGTCTTGCAAATATAAAACCTTTATTTCCTCTGGAAAAAACTTCACAACTTCATCCTATAAAACAACTGCTCATACACTTTTCCTCAAACTTTCATCCTCACTCCATCAATTTCTTGGATTTCCTATACAAACACTTTATAAGCATTTCATTCCTGTACCTTTTTCCATTTAAAAAAAAAAATATATATTTTCCTTTAAGGTAGCACCCAAAGGTGAGTAGATATAGATAAACTATATAAAGTGCGATTACTGTTAACATGCCATAATATCGTGTTTGTTATTCAGTGCAATAACCAATATGGTCAAAGCCTTTCAATGCACATGCAAATGCCACTGTCTGTTTATTTTACTTGATTTCTCCTAGTTATTAAAAAGTTAGTTATACTTACATGTCAAAACATGGCTGCTTGTAGTTTACTCATACACAAATTATTTATCCTTCCTAAATGTACATCATGCAACCGAAATTAGAGCCCATTAGAAAAGTGATAAAATACTAGCTTTGATTAAAAAAAAACAAAACCCTCATTCATATACAGATCTGAATGTTTGTTATGCAGCAGATATTGTTCTTAACACTGTTTTGAGAACCAAGCACTTAAGCATTATAGAGGCACAATTATTATGTAAGTAAGTAAGTAAGTGATGAGATGTAATATACCCAAAAGCCACGATTAAAGCTCTTTGTAAGAGGACTCCTATGTTAAGGGTGAACCGGTAAGCATTCCCCTGCTTGAGCTCCCAGGCTGGTGGTTTGCTGATCCCAGCTGGCTCGCTCCACCAACGCTATTCCAGTTACCGCGCCTGTCCCGGGATGGCGTGACCAGCTTAAAGTGGTTGTATCCCATTCAGTACTGGCCTACACGGACCGCTTGCTCGGACACAGACGAGGCCAGCCACGCAGCGTTTTACGCAGAAGTAACACTCTGACGTTATGAGCTAAGTTTCACAGCCATGTACTGGTCAAAATGAGAGTTATACATTGGATTCAACGAATGATCGCTTTGGTTTTGTAGAGGCCACGTGACTCAGATGGCCTTCTTTATTAATGTGGGATTGCTGTTTTGAGAGAGGGTCCGGGTACAACTGGGAAGCTTGTTTAGGTGCTTTGCTGTCTTGACAGTGGGCAGCTGTTTGGCACTTAGGCTCCTCGAGTTCTTTAGCTTGCATACCGTTCTGGGTGCCGTCTCGGGGGGCAGCCCCAGTAGAGGAAGTTTTAGTCTGATAGTGTTTGACTGAGTAATGCTCAGAATGTGCGGGCTGAACGCCCCCAGAAGCGGTATTTGTTAATCCTTCTGATGCCTGAGAATGCCAAGTGCGACTGGGTTGGTTATTTTGCTGCTGAAACCTTGCAGTCTTATCCATGATTCCCATAAATGGGGTATTGCGAGGTCTGTGTTCAGCAGTAGCACCCTGAACGTGATTTAATTTATTCTCCTTGGTTCGAACGTCTGGCCCTAGCCCCTTTCTGCTCTCTGTAAAACTACTTGCTGACGTTAAGTTGCTAGCTGAGCTGGCAAGAATCATACTGTTGGATGGAGAACTAGACGAGACACCACTAGTTACAGGAATTTGCTGTCTTGCTTCACTGAAATTCATTTGCGTAGGGGCTGTTAACCTGTCAGCGGCTTTAGACTTATTTGCGAAAGAATGAGAAGAGAGATTCTCATTATGCTGCGAGTGGGAACACTGGCTGGACGTAAACGTCTCATTGCACAGACCGGAACTAGCACCAGTGGAAATACTTGCAGATGATAACGTGCTTGTCCCATCCATATACTGAATTTTATTGCTAGTAAAATTTCCAGGGTGTCGTACTGGCAAAGGACTTTGGGGAAGATGCTGAAAAGATGACTGTGCCTTTGTATTACATTGACTGCTTCCTGGTTTTGATCCGGGCTGGATGGAGCTCAGGTGCTGATTAGTTTTTACAATCTGTGCCTGCTTCGTTGGCTGCACGATCAAGCCTGGCTCTCTCAGATATTTATTACCTGTTCTGCTTTGAGGGGACACAGGTCTGGTTTTCTGCTGAACACCCTCCTGAAGGGTCCTGCTGTACGATGAGGCAGCCAACGCACGCGGCAGTCTTTGCGGAGAGGAAATGGATTCATCGCGGTGTGGCAAGTCCTCCGCCCTCTCTGGAAGATTAAAATTTTCATTCACACCTTGTATGATGCCCTCCTCCTCATTTTCAGAGTTGTTACTTTGCTGTGCTGGCTGAGGAGACTGACGCTTCTGCTGCTGTGTTCTCTGGAACTGTTTGCATTCTTCTTCTACTCGAGCCAGGAGACGTTTTATCTCTTGGTTGTTAGGACACAGCTTCATAGCTTCACGTAAGTCAGCAAGAGCAGCAAGTAGCTTTCTGTTAATTAAAAAAAAAGAAAAAAAGAAAAAAAAAAGTCAATTGATTAAAAACTTGGGGCAAAATTGATTCTCAGCATTGCCTACTACAGATCCATCTCCACCACTTTCAAAACAGTGCTTTACATTTTTCATCTCCTGCTGGAGGTGGTGACAAGAAAAGAATCATGTCTTCCACCCCAGGAAGCGCTTTCCTACAGTGGAAGCACAAACCCAGTCCTAAACCTTTCCTGTGTATCCTAACAGACTCTTCAAGGAGCCAGCCCAAGTCGGCTGGCAGCGCTCTAAACATAAGCTTTGTCTCCTGAGCCCTTTACTGTTAGCTTCACAGTAGGTACCTTGCTGAACTCCACTCTTAAGATCACTTCTTGTTCCACTTAGAAAAGACATGGTGAATCAACAGGCAGTTCTCCATAGCAACTAGTTTGATATTTTTCCAATTTAAAGACGAGGCGACTCCTCTTCTCTCCCCTAGTTTTTATCTCAAACAGCTGGCGATTTAACAGCTGTCCTATAAAAGCATCTAGTTATTCTTGGTGGTAAATAATGCAGTGCTGGAGTTCGGTGGCACACTGTTAACGAAGTTCTGCTGATTAACACTCCTATCCATTCTTACATATAACATATTCCTCTTCATATCAGTTTGTCATTTTCTGGACTCCCTGACAGTTACCTAGAGAATTCAGTACCGCTTTTTGTTTGTGCCTGGATGGTTTTGACTGATTCTGAGATCTAACACAAATGGAAACTGCACAGGGAAAACGACCTTTTCTTTGCAGCTTCTAAATACAAACACCGCTTACGTTATTGAAAACATTACTGAAAGTGTTATGCTGTAAAAAATCTGGGTGGAAATGCACCGATACGAACAGTACCTGCTGTTTCTCTTGGCTCTTGCTCTAGCGTAATAGGCTTCATAAGACTTGGGTTTCAGCTCCAGTGCTTTGGTAGCAAACTCTTCAGCCATACCAAAGTCCTAATCATTTAAACAAATATATTCATTATATAGCGGCATTAAAAGAAAAATGCAGGTTCTTTATTGATTCTGCCACTTCAAAACTGTTAAGCAAAAGCTTATCCAGTCTAGAAAGTCATTTATCAGTTAGGAAGAGCAAGTATTTTCCAGAAAGACTGAGAATGGACCTCCTCTTGCTAACCTTTTCTGTCATGTCTAAAGAGAACTGAATCCAACGTAGCTAAAAAGCTATGTTAACGTAGATAAGAGCTGGTTATTTTCAAGCCAACGCTGTTAAAATGCTAAGAGAGACTGCATGTTTAACAGAATACATGGCCACCTCAAATAGCAGTGCTTTATTTACAATGTGTTCTGAAAAAGACCAGTTAAAAAACCTAAGACTGCAGAGGAAACGGGACAAAACATGACATAGTCCAGAGCTTCCTTTGATAACGTATGTGACTTTTTAGACAAGAATTGCACTAGATCTAATATATTTGGTCTTCATTTGACAAGCAATGAGGAATAAGAATTTAGTAAGTTGTTGGTTAAACCAAAGCCTGGAATTAGCAAAGCAGGATTGAAATGGCGGCAAACATGGCTATGGGAAAGATGAAAACGGCAAGTCTTAACAGTGTCGTGCACAGCACAAGGTGCTCATGACACAGCATGATATCCAGCATACTTTATGCAGGAAGTTGAAAAGCATCACTGGGGCGGGGGGGAGGTCCTAGGAGATCATGCAAGACTAGAGTAATAACGTGGTGAACTTTAGCTTCAGATGAGAGGCAGTGCGCTTCAGGTTTAGCAAAATCCAAATGGGAGCTTATCAGTGGGATATGATGAGAAACACACACACACACACACACACACAAGCTGTTCAGAGTGACTTTCAGCTGCCAGTTGTGATGCAACTGAAAAACACAGTCAGATCTAGGAAGGTCTCAGGAGAGCAATTGTAGCAGAGAAAATCTAGAAAAGATTAGTACCACAGTACAGGGCAGCAGTAGAACAGCCTATGTAAAGCCCTGGTCACCAACGTTCAAGTGCTCTTCAAAGTGGAACACGTGCCAAGAACGACTTACTTGGCTGACTACAGCATGAAGCAGTCAGTTACTTTCTGAAACGGAGTTTTTTGCTTTAATGGTCACTGAGGCTCTAAACAGCCATCTGATGCACTGGGGCAGGTATTAAAAAACCAGCCAACCAACCCCCACTCTCAATTATCCAAACTGATGAATCATATAAAAGATAGCACTGCTGGTAGGTTATGGTGTTTGATAAGCAAGGGTCGGGGGGAGGCGAGCGTTCCATTTAGTCTGGTATTTTAACTTGAAAGTACAGAAAATATATAATAGTCTGCTATTCCAAAACAACTAGATGACATAGGAGCAGCTGCAATAGTTCCCCCATGGCAACGTGCCCTTATCTCATGAACTGTCCCCATCTGTTGGCACAGCAAAGCTCCAAATCAGGACATAGCAAAAGGAACTCTAAGAATAGCCAAAATAAATGTATAAGTAGCAATGTTTGGTAAGAAAGAAATCCTAATATTTCATGCATGCAGTGACCCACAAGGACCAACTGACACATGAGAAGTAACAAATACTTTGGCCATGTGTCTTTCCCTTGATGCCAACCCCTTTGGAGGATTTTGCATATCCCTTTTCTGCACTTTGAGCTGATCAGGAAGATCAAAGGATCGCAGGAGCACGGTGACAGCAACGCGTCTCACAAGCTCTCAGTAAAGGAGAGAAGAGAAGTCTAAGAATCCCAGTGCCAGAGAAGCAACAGATTAATAATAAGAGCTTACATTTGTTTTTCGGCGACATCGTGACAAATTTAAGTATAATGAAACTCTCAGCTCATTGAAAGCTTTCATTTCTTCTCCAAATCCTTCCCTTGGAAACTTCCTCAAGGCATACTGATAGCGCTGGGCTGCTTCCTTCATCTTACCTTTCTACAAATTTAGGGAACAAGAGACTTTTCAGAAACTCGTGCAATATTGCTATAAAAAAGCACATTTATATTCGACATCTGCCAGATGCTCTTCAAGTAGAAAACACACAGCCAGATTCTGTGTTGTGTGCGCGTGCACGTGTGTATGCACGTATTACACACGGACACAGTGAGAACTTATGAGTTAAAGACCGTTTGTGTTTGTCTTGTAAACTGGTACCTTTAATGATATTTCACCAGAATAGTATTTACATTAATACGTACTAATGGGATCAGAACAATTATTCTTCAGAGTTAAAGACTGTATGATACAATGCTTAATCTTATGTTTGCTTTTTTAAACAGAGCAGTCAATAATTGAAGATGTAAGTGATCAAACCTCTAATGTCTAGGTGGCGCTAGTAGAGCACTTTCGTAGTGAGGAATGGCGTAAAACTTTTGTGCTACTGCCGAGCAAGCTCTGGAACTGGAAGGGGTAAGGTGGGGGGAGGCAGGAAGCCAAAGCAACACGCAACCATGCAGTCCAGCTACTCTCAGCTTCACCTGGGTGTCTCAGCTATGATTAGCTAGTGGGCAGAGGTAGGAATTTAAAATAGTAAGATGTCGCTCTCCTACTGCTTACTGGAGGTTGAAAAAGAAAGCTAACCTGTCCTTCAGAACTACCTGCTTGCTCAATAGTTGCACTGGAAATAGTCACTCTCCAAAAGGTGCTTGTAGAACAACTCCGCGATTAGCTGAAGATATGAGACAGTTTTGCTAAAACCACTGAGAAATACTCCTAGTGAAAAAAGACTACCAATTCTTTGAGTTGATAACTGAAGAAATTTTTCTCTTAAATGGATATTCTAGGAGTTAATTTTTTTTCAAAAACTTTTTTTGAAATTACTTTGAATTTTAAAAGTGGTCACAATTTACTGTTGAAACTGGCATGGAAAATTTTAAAAGTTTAATTTCCTTATTTTATTCAGCTCAAGAGCTGAAAAGCAGCTATTGCACACTGTGAGCGCACTCAAATATGCATTAAACGGTCTGCAAAATAACTTCCCATTTATCATACTTTGGCAAAAGAATAAATCAAAGTGTACTGGAAAAAGTTTAACAAGCTCCACGTAAACACACCGTAAGCTCTCACAAGTTCATTCAAATTACTGTAATAAAACTAAATGGTCTGGTAAAGATACCAGCAGGGAATTCAACCTCTATTAACAAATTGTAAAACATGTTAATACTGAGCCCTGCCACCTTCATCTGTGATCTCCGAGTCTAGGCGGAGTTCAACCTGATGAGCAACTGGTAGAGAACCTGAAGCAAGAAGACTTGGTGTTGGTGACACAGTGGGTGGCACGTTATCTCTGAACAACCAGAGTCACGCTCAGTACACCACCAGGGAGCGTGGCACGGGAGAGTCTCCCCAGGGATGACGTTACTACCTTTGTGGAGTGAATTCCCTTATCGTTTAGGGTGAAAGATGTCCCTCATTTTAAGGATTTTGGGGATTTTTCTTTAAATTTGCATTTAAAGCTCTGAACCCATTTCAGCATCAATAAATTTGATGAATTATCCAGATGTATTTGTAAAATTCCTTTACGGAATTTGGCAGAATCCAAGCAGGTTCAGCCTGCTTTATGATGGCACGTCCTCAAGGGTGCTTTTCTTGCATTAAAGGCATTTGATACAGACATTTGATCAAAAATCAAAGATAACGTGGCATGTATTTGAGGTCCTTTATAAAAACCCTAAAAGTTGCCAAGCTTTGTAGCTAGAACAAACTTTGAATGATGCTCATAAAACATTCAGCACTGTGTTGCACCAGTGGAATAAAGGAGGGGCACCACACAATTTACAAAGACACTTCCAATCTCTCTTCTGAGTAATATAACACCGCTAGTAAAAAGAACGTATCAAAGGAGCTGACGCTTTCCTCAATCTGTTTTTAAATAGCATGCAAAAGAACGTTATCCTGAAGAAGAGTTTATGCCCGAACGTATCTATATTTTCTGCACTTCAGTAAGACAGTTTCAGATTAGCACCCTCAGTTCTCAGTTGCTCTTAAGAAATAGCAGCGCTACAAACGTCCACCAAGCAACTTGCTCAATAGAAAAAAAAATAAATTTGTACTTATCTATTTTTTTGTTTGTTTGTTTTGCATAGGAGTTTTTGCTGATTCTTTCTCAGGTCAAAGGTTCTTGGTCCCATTCCCAATATGAGAGGATGTGCAAGTACACAGGTGTTATTTCAACAGAAAATCTCAATCTACCTTCAGACAGAAGTTCAATTACGGTGTTTTCCCAGTAGAAAAGAAGAAAACTACCTACTTTGTACAGTAAATTTCCTTCTTCCATCAGTTTCTGTAGCAGAATGATGAGAATATCAGGTTTTGAGGTCGCCATTGCCCACGCCGCATTTCCTGCAAGTTAAATTTTAAGGTTTTCTACTAAGGGAGGGGAAAAGTTTGTTTCTGGTATCTAATTGCACTGGAAAGCATAATCCCACTTCAGTGGATATTCCACATGTAAGGAACAATTTTTTTTTTAATCTATATATTCATACTCCTCCCCCCATACAGAAAGCAGCCAGGTATTAAAGGGGTCTGACTCATTCTTCCCCTGGTCTGAAGTCTGCAAAGGACATTATGAAAGTCCATGGCAAAGTATAGTCCTAAGTAAGGTGCTGGACTTACTTAGAACCCAAATAATCCTAAATTATGATTATGACTTAAAGGTACTACAGATTCAGTAGTCATCACATATACAGTTGCAAAATCTACTTGCCTGCTGACGATACATGATTTGGATGTACCATTTTTACTAAGTCTTTACAAAAACGTAGGATTCTATAATATATTAGATGAACGTTATTTAAAAAAATCTTCACCAGAGTCATTAGTGGCAGAACTAAGGGTCACTAACAGAGTAATCATTATTTTCCTGTGCAAGTGTGTCACGATGGTGAGTAACCACGGAAAGGTTCCTGATCAACATACGTTAAAGAAAGGAGTAGAATAAGTTTACTTGCATTTCCTCACTTCTGAAGTGAGTCTGAAGTGTTTGACTTTAAAAGAAGGAAAACGATTCATTTCTCTTGAACAGGCATCTGTAAACCATATTACTTGCAAAATCTCCTGTGCAATTCAAGATTTATTTAATCTACTTTACAAAACTGACAGCTGTTCTAGTAGAACAGGCATTCAGTTCTTTCCTCTGAGTATAGGATAGGTTTTTACTAACCTAACTTAGCTCCTTTTCTCAGTAGCATAACCACTACAGATGTATTTCGACATCCGATAGCTCTGTCCAGTGGCCGCATGCCGCTGTGGTCAATATGTTCAATCACTGCTCCTTGCTCTACCAAATACTGCACCTGTGAACAGAAACAAGACAAGCCTTGTAACAGTGACCGTGGTAGGAGAGCCAGAACAGTGAAATATTTAAGCTACCATCTAATCTTGCTTGAATTAAGTATATGCTCCAGAGTGTGCTAAGGCCTTTTTAAATTCATTGAACTGGAACTGGAAGTGAAGACAACCACAAACACAGGAATACTATTAAACTGCACCTAACAACAGCTGCATTTTCTCAGTTAAGGAATAATAAAAGTACCACCTGTGTCAGTGAAACTCTGAGACCAACACATTCTGCTTGTTACCTCCTTTGTTCACCTTCTGCGTGCCAATACACTGACACAACTACTCAAATTACTGCCCTGCTCAAAGGGCGGTAAGATCAGGTGAAAACAGAGTACCTGTTTAGGCCCTGTGGCTTGAGAATGTTGTACACATAGAGTAAACAGAAAACGTACAGACTGCTTTTGTGTAATGAGACATTTAAAAGATTCTCATTAACACTTTACATCACTTGCTGAGCAATTGCTTCTTGTTCTATATGAAGAAAAAAAAAAAAGTGTAATATTATTCATTTCTTAACCATTTATCACCACAATAGTCTAATCTTGCTGTCTCAGATACAAATGCAGCAAATGTAAAATGCAGCAAGGGCAAATAAGACGTTTAAGAAATGAAAATACACATACCAGACAGTATCAGTTTCCTAGGATACCTAGTAATGACTCATTAGTAACATTTAATTAAAAGTGGGATATATAGGAAATAGCAGCAATGGCAGGTTTGATGTAAGCAATAGCTTTTGACGTATCCATTGCTTACTTAAACGGGACTGGCGGCAATCTAACATGGACAGTAGTATTAACAATCTTTCCCACTGACAAGCCCCCAAAAGGTAAAACTGGTGGCCACTGTCTACAAACCCTAGACAAACACATGCTTCAAGTTTGAGAGGCTGCATATGCCATTCTTCCTAGTTCCCCAGTGCACTGTTAGATCTGGTTATAGTGCGTGGAGACTAAGCCTGTCTTTCCCTGCAGTGTGCTGAAACTGCATTCCTGTCCGGATAGGCTTTTGAATTGTGTTTTTTGCTGAGTTTTGAAGCATGAGATCAAAGGTAAACAATAACTTCAAAGTCTGTGATTTTGAAGATTTAGAAGATTCTAGCTCTAAATTCTTTTACATTTATAATAGAGGAAGAAGGTGGTGCATTATAAAGGTACAGGACTGAAAAAAAGGACTTGAGCTGTTGTCCAGGTGTTTCTGAAATCACCTGTGGAACAAACGAAGAAAAATGAATCTGCTTCTCAGTCCTTTTATTTCTACACATATAAAGAGTGCATAAGTAACACTGAGACATGCTTTTTGATATGAGATTTTTAAGATGAAAAGCATAATGAATTCTATCTACTCTGTCACTGTCACGTAAAGCATGCGAGATATCTATGAAGGACAAGCAGTGCTGCTTTAGGATGCAGGAGCAATACCTTTTCTCATTTCATCCTTTTTGGTACTATTATTCTTTTTCTGTCCTTCTCATGTGGGGTCTCTGCACCACTGGGGTACCCACCTGGGTGGGACCTGTCAGGTTACCTTACTGGGTTTGCAGAGGAAGGGAAAAAGGATATTTTCATGTCCGCAGTTCTTTTTTTTCCCTTTAATTCCAGTTCATCCAACACAGAGGACTTGTAAATGTTACTCCTTACTGAGATTTTAAAAACTCACTATAAAGTATAACAGTACACTGTAAAGCATGAAGGCATCATGCTGCCCTTCTACCAATCACAACTACCTTGCTACTAAAACCTTATCTAGTAAATGTTTTTTTGGGTAAACACTTGCACTGCAGTCAAAATGTTAGCAGCATAAGCACACTGAATACTTGTACACATTTCCTCTGTAATTTGGTTGGCAGTGTTTTTTTTAAGTTTTGTTTTGTATTACGAAGATTCGACATGTGCTTAATTTTTTTTACAGTTTGTTTTACTTACAATATCAGCATCTCCATAAAAAGCTGCCAGGTCTAAGGGTGTCCGTCCATTTTTGTCCACCTGATCAATTGTTGCACCTTTCTCAACTAAATACTGAACCACTTCCCTGTGGCCTTTTAGACATGCCCAGCTCAAAGCCGTCAGTCCTTCTTTGTCCAGAGATGAAATAGCTGCACCTATAAATTGAAAATCAACTTTGTTATGAAGATATCCTGTTTACTATGTAAAATTCCTTAACTCACATAGACTCAGTCTATGATACAGCTGTTCAGCTTTGAACCAGTCATTGATTTTCTACCTTCAGAAAACAGAAATTCCACAGTGCTCAGATGTCCTTCACAAGAAGCCACCATAAGTGGTGTCCTGCCTTGCTTGTCACTTAAATTCACATCAGACCCGTGCTCCAATAGAAGCTTCGCAATCTGAAATAGGAAACAGCAATTTAAAAACAAATTGGCAGATTTTAATTTTAGCTCTAATAGCATAGACTTTTACAGAAACGGACTAAGGCGTTATTTATAAGCAATCACTGACCAACTCAAGTCTTAACTGGTAGCAATTCAGGGCCTAGTTATTCCACTCTTGAGACCACTTGTCATGCTACACTTAAACCAATGAAAATTGGCAGGTGCGAGAAGGGCCCCCGACTCCGAGGTTCGGTCTCCATTACACAGAGGCAGTATAATGGATCTGAAATTGTCTCTGTTCTTGGTGGAGGAAATAAAGTATTATAGATTCAACGTATTATTTTTTAGATACATTACAATTAAGGTTCTCACGCAGTCAATGCACTTTCAAATCCCTTGTACCACTGAAAATAACTTAAGTGAGCTGAACACTTCCATTTAAAGTTGATGCCAACGCGTATTAGAAAGTTTACGCTATATTAGTAACGGGAGTAGAGATGGGAGGAAAGTTGATTTTATTCCAAGGACTGTTTCCCACCAGAATCCATTTAATTTGTGAAGATGCGTCAGACCTGCCAGTGACCCTGCCGAACTGCGCAGAAAAGCGGAAGAATCCCCCTCCTGTTAGCTCTTGTCACAACAGCTCCATGGTCAAGCAGGAATTCACAGACTTCCAGTTTTCCTCTTCCTGCAGCAGCTGTCAGGGCTAAAGAAAGCATTTTCATCAACATCTCTTAGCTGCTTTAACACATTCCTTGACACATGCAACTTTATTTCAGTGTTACGGAGTCCCCAATTTTTTGAACTCATCTATACTCTGTAAGATCTTCATAAATATTTTCAGATCCAAATGGGTAAGTCAGAATCGGGTTAAGCCAATAAGCCAAAGACATTCTATGGTAAACAAGAAGTAATTCTCAAAGATAACAACTACCTCATGCGCATAGCTCGTAGGTTAAAAGGAGTCTTTATGGAAATTTAGGATAAACCCACCAGCTTATCTTTGAGTTAGATATAGTTCCTTTTTCATTAATCTTTTTTCACGATGAGAAAGCTTTATCTCTTTCCATCAGGTCTTTCCCAAAGGCCAAGATCACAGCAGTTCTGGGATTCACCAAAGACAGTGTAACTCCAGTTTCGTGGAGTACTGTTTCCCCAATGTCTGGCAGTGATGTATTGCCAAACAGCAGATTTTCAGATCTCTGGAGAAAGTCCATTTCTCAGACAACTTAGCTTCATTCTGCACTAGTTAAAATTGTTTTCTCTGTTTTCCATGCTGAAAAGCACAGTAGGTCATCAATGAATGGCTCTAATTTCTGTGTGTTCATCCTTGCTCCAGGTCTCAAAGGAATACCACGCATTTTTCAGCAATGGTATTCATATGGTATATGAGTGCGGAGACCTCAACGTTCTACCGCACCTTGAAAACACTGTTTGAAATGTATAGCACATCTTGTCAAGAACAAGTGCTCTTGGTCTCTTATCTAAAACGCAGAAACCTTTCAACTTTGGACAGATACTACTGTCAGAAGACATCTTTGCAGGACTGGCTGAAAACATTACATAACATCACATTTTCCAAGCGCACCTACATATCCTAGTTATTGAACAGTCTGAAACAATACAATAGCACACGTGTCTAGATAGCATAATAACAAAACCACTGAGATTACATTTATTTTAGCCATTCATAAGATAAAAATTATTGTACATCTATGCTCACATGTGTCGCTTATGAGAAAGCAGATAATTTCCATACATTGGGCGCTAATACTTTGTGACCCCACTCGGTACCATAACTGAAAACAACTTTGCTGTAAGGCTATGCCTTTAAACAACTTATCACCTTCTCCTATGGTTTATTATACTCCTTCCTTTTCACAGCAATATTCTTTGAAGCTTGAAGATAAAGCATTTTCCCATATTTTCCCCATCATGATTTTTTCCTCTTCCATTTGGCTCACATCAACTTCTTGTGTGCTTTAAATGGAGCTTGAATTGAAACAGGTTTTTGCTGAATCCTTTCCACCAGCCTCACCTGTGCTGTTAACACAGTTCTGAAAACTGTGTTCCTGAGCTAACTTCCACAAGGATCAGTAAAGGATTCACCACTCCTTTTTTTTTTTTTTTTTTTTTAAATATAAAATTCAGCATGAATAAATATCCAATACATTTTTTCCCAATAAGTGGTGGGGATCAGCTAGTCAACCGGACGCTTTATATCATTCATTATTTTTAGAAGTTTCAGTGGTGATAAAAGTATTTTTTAACCTTGCAACAGTAAATCAAAGTAAATGAAAACACACACGCTGCAGGAAATAGTAAATCCGTTATTTCCCTCAACAGCATCTAACGCACGTGGCTCTGGCTCATACATCTCTATGTTACAGTTGTATCAACTGTTTACATCTGAATGACTGGAACATAAACATCAACATTAAAGGCAAAACAAACGATCTTTTTCAAAAAAATCACATTTATCATTCCGCCAGTTCCAAGTATTTCGCTCACCGTGCAACCTACGTTACAGCAACAACATGACTACCCTACATTTTATTCAGGAACAAGAAAGACTAAAGCATTCTTCCAGGCAGCTTACAAGATAACACAACTAAACCGTGCTCAGGAATTCCAGCTATTCTACTGCAAGGACCACCCTGCTCTGCCCAACCTACTCTGCAAAAGCTCAGCCTCCTCCGCCTTAATGACAAAAGGAAAGAGTTTTAATGAACAGCTACACAAGCAACTGATGCACAACGGAAAATACAAGAGCAGGCCATTAAGCGGAAGGAAAAATAGAAATCTTCGACAGATTTTTGATTTGCAGCCAACAATGTCAGAGAGAAACTGTAACTAGGAAAAAAAAACAAAAAAGGTTGTTTTCACGTCCGAAATAATACAGGCAGCTTTCACATCTGAAATAAGACACACACAAAGTCTGCAAAATTAGTCGGAAACAAGACTAACTGGTCACCACAGTTTGCAGAATCCAACAAGCTTAATAGAGAGTCATTAAACTTAGTATTTAATCAAACACTAAAACTCCTTTCGGAGGTCAAGAGCAGCTGCTATACTGTGACCTTTAACTCTGGAATTTTATCTCGCAAATATCAGTGCTTGTGTGGAGAGCGTGATTTATTTTTAACATATGCTAGCAGACACATTAACATTTGTATAGTCTATAAAAACAATGGTTTATAAACAAAATTGGAATTACACGTGCAACACAGTGACTAGCTTCCACGTTCACGACCTTTGCATTAACAACACGCGTAGAGGGCTTTCTTTCACTTCCTTTATAAGTAAGTCCTTTAAAATTCCAGGTTTGTGCCTTGACGTAGCGGCATTAGATTGAAACATACTTGTACGTAACAAGCCCTCTACAAGGCTCCACAGCTTTGTTTTAAAATCACTTTTTTTAAAATCATTATCTCAAGATACATGTTTGTCACTGTCAGGTATTGGGGCAGGGAGGAGAGAGAAATAAGCAGAGCACGACGCACAGAAGGCAGAGCGCTCTATACGGCTAACCTGCACATAGCACATGAGGCAGGTTAAAGACCTCTCTAAGATGGCTTCCCAAAGATGGTCTTCTCCGAGTAAGACATACTAACGTGGATTTTGAAAAGGGCAAAGTAAGGAAATTTAGGTAACACGCTTAAAATTTTGTCACCCCCTACCTCCTCTCATTTCGTGCATTACCTGGTTTTGCTATGTGCTTACATTGCTTTAATTTACTATATGACTTGCCTTGAAGCTGTACTGCATTCAGACACAGCCTTCAGCTATAACAGTGTAATAAAATACTGGGAACAGAAACTATGATCTCTGACTGTCTTCTCCTCTGAAAAACTTGCAACATAAAATACTATTGAAACAGCCTTCATAATGAGCAGAAACCACTGCAGATAACAAGTAATACAAATAGATGCTGAAGGTACCTTTAAGGTCATTCCATGTTTTCCCGTGTTTGATGAATTTTCCCATTTTAAAACGGGCACTCACAAAACGCACTGCTCCTCCTTCCATCTGCCGCATGCTTCTGGTTTTACCACCACCCCATCAAATCCTCCTTTCATCTCCGCCACCCTACGTTACTAGGTGCGCCTTCCCTGCCACCTCGGCAAGGAGTATCAGCGTGGTCCCGCTTATAAAGCGGATGCTAGCGGCCCATTCAGCGCACTGTGAAGAGAGGCTCACGCAGTCACACAAAAACACAGAGGTTCCACCAGCAGATAAACTAGCATCTTTCGCACGGAAGCCTTAGATACTCAGTAACGGAAGAGTGATACTGCAGGTCACGCTAATCCTGTAGCTATCTTCACTCCCTCTTCACGTTTTCTTCGCCCACCACTTACTGCTGTGCATGCCAGAGAGCACAGAGCGCCACAGGGAACTGCTCACAGCTCTGTGAATTCAGGCCTCCCTTACGGGTTAGGGCTGCATGAGGCAGCACCAACTTCCTGGGCAGAGATCCCCCCCCACTCGTTAAGCGAGAATCTGCATATAAAACTTTGAAAAGAAAACACTACATACGGCTGAGTTTAGAGCAACCTGAAGAAACAGATGTACGTTTTTTTGGAATTCACTGGATTTCACATTTGCAACAAAGAGCGAGCATAGCTCTGTATACGCACAGGAATGATGAACGCTTGCGTCCCGAGTACGGGAAAAGGCTACTCAAAAAAAATAAAATAAAATAAAATGAGACTGTTTTCCTGCCTGTCCACGCACATCTCAACTGTTCAAATGAAATTAAGATGCTACTCCTACAATAAAACATAGGAGCTTTCCAGCTGCAGGCTGCACAGTTTACTGTGTCGCTTAAAATAAATAAATAAACAAATGAATCTGGCACTTGCCATCCTTGGAAACGTGTTTTACATCCACTGCCTAACAAAAACAAACTAGGCAATTGCCTTGCCTCTCCTTCAAACAAAAGAGGTTTAAAAAGTCCTCAGATGCATAATATCAAGAAGTTCTGCAGTGAAACCTGAGGCACTACAATTTACAACAATCTGCAATTTAATTAGAAAGCCCTTTATTAATACTGATTTTTATATAATTCTTTCCAATCTGTCAGGTGAGTAGGTTTAATAAATTTTTACAAACCTATATTGCTTATAAGCTGCATACTGATGGATTTTATTATTAAATCAGGTATATTCCTATTACTTTCATCATATTATCATAGAAAATTAAATAAAAAATTCAAAATATAAAACTCGTACTACTAAATGATTAGCAATTCTCATTAGAGAAAATAAGAGGAAGAAAATACCCGTTTCTCCCCACAACGCATCAGTGTCGTTGATGTCAATGTCATGTTCCTTTTCATTTGCCAAGAGGTAACAAACCACCTGTAAAAGAACAGTTAGCAGGTTTAATGAGTCACCCCCACACGCACCAAGCTGTCACGAGCAATATAGAGCAACAGTTAAAGCATTTAAAATTTTTAAAACAATCGGGAGTGCTTCTGTCCTAATGCACATGAATCAAAGAACTGGTTTTGTCCTTAATCCATCAAAGCAAGATCAGCATAATTTGGGATATAACTTAAAGACATGGGAATGTTATTAAAAACGGTTTAAAATAAGGCCAGTACACTTCTGTTAATTGATTCAAGGTGTTTGACGTTATCATTTAATGAGCTCCAGCGTGACCTAAATATGCCAGCACAGTCAAGGCCAACACTGCCAAAAATAAAAATAAGTTTAGTGAGGACACAAGAAATTCCATTTTAGCTAAAATGAAAAAAGTTACATTAGAATACGTCTTGTGAAATGGAGAGTCATATGTTTTTTTCTAAATGCTGTTTATACCTTAACTGTTCCTCAAAACTTCTTCACAGAAGGATCCGAGCATACTTTGTTAAATGCTAACTTTTAACCTTAAGACTAGTTGTGAAAGTATTGCATTTTATTTTTTATCGTATTAAAAAAAGCTACGTTCTCTAACCACCAGCTAGTGCAAGAATGTTAAATTAAAACCTTCTCTGAAGGCTACCTTAAACAACTTTCTAATGGGGGACAGACTTAACTGAGACTGCAGCAAGCAGCTAAGGGAGTGGCCTCACACTAACCAAAGTTTCGGATGCTGAAGGAAAGAGTAAAGGTAGGAGAGAAAAAAGTGTAGCAGCCTGAGAGGCACTGTATAGACTGTGGAGAAAATGGGACAATTGAGAATGCTGGAATATAATTTACTAATGAAAACTAATGAAAGACACAAGCCTTTTTTTTCCTAAAATTAAGCTTCATTTTGCTTTAAAAAAAAAGAGAAAAGAGAAATTTTGGGGTAAACAAAGAAGTATTTATGATTAATACGATCTGCTTTGGGGATGTTGATGAGTTGGTTGCTTTCACATTCGTCAGTGGACGGCAATAAGAAATTTTACTAGAGGGAAGGAATTTTTGCAGTAGTACCAGTGAATCACAGTTCAGAATCCTCAAATCGACTTTGTGTGATACTCTTAGATCCTACGATAAATTAATCAAATCATATGATAAATTAATCGCACATAGACAGTTCTGTTTGAATCATGTAAACAACTTCGAGATCAGAATCCTAATCTTGTAACAAAAATTTTAAAATAAAATTAGATTTAAAGAATAGTTAATACAGAAATGTTTTCACTGGAGAGACCGTGTTTCCTGCTTTGGCACATCACTTACGATATATTCATGTGAAATTCCATCAGCCCAGTGTGATCTTTATTTGTGTATTTTTATTTACTGATTACTTTTTTCTCATGGTCTTATTTTCCTAATGAATGGAAGACAGACCAATATTAGCTACATATCTAAAGAATCTCAGTATTTAATATATGTTTACTTTTAGTCTTCCTATTATTAAATAATACTGAATATGTATGAAGTAAAAAGAAATGTTTGCCATCATTACAAACACACACAAACTTCCTACCTTAAGCAATATTAACATTTCAAAAAAACCCTGAGGTGTCAGATGCTAAAAATAATGTCTGTGAAGTAGCCCTAGATTTCACTTATTTGAGAAGAGACAATTTTTAGATATTCAAATGTAAAGTAAGTATATTTACAATATAATAAAAATATACTAATTATGATCCTACACTACTTTATCCTCAAGAGAAATCCTAGTTCTTCCTCACACTCTTTTTTTCTTTCATTACTAAGGTGAAGAGGAGTCCACAATACAGGAAACCATGGAAAGATCTGTCCTCTGTTTGAGGCAGTAAAGAGAGTTGAGAGTCGCTGAGAGTTGAGTTTTCTTCTCCCTCTTCCAGTGACCTACCAAGTGAGCTCCAGCAACTTTTGTTTCTCAAGTCTCTTATTTACCGGATGAAGACAATACTATTTATCAGGCTTGCTAGAGCAAGTAAATTCAGTGCTTTCATAGCGCTCTCGTTTTATGGTACTCGCTGCCTTAGAGAAGCCTACAGAAAAGATATACTGATCTAAGGCAGGTTTTTAATGGTGTGCAGCGTAGCTGGTAAAAGGCCTCATAATGATGGAAAAGTACAAATATTCTTTGTTAGAATCAGTTTCATTCACTGAATACCATCCATCCTCTGCAAAGAATGCAGCAAATCCATGCATAACTTATTGCTGTATCATTCCACTGAAGCAAAAGACAAATCCCCCATAAATTACAGTAATAATCTAGTCTGTGCTTTTTTAAATTGTACAAAACCAAATGATAAAAATTTTTCTTTCAAACCCTATCTATGGTAATCCCAGGTAAACCACTAGATCAAGCAGAATGACATTAAGCAAAAAAATTGATGAGGAACTTGAGAAAAAAATCAAGCCAAACTTGATTTTAAAATGTCCACACGGACATCTCAATGTGCTGAGCTAAAAATCAGTGTAGAAACTACCTTCAGCTTAATCAGTGCAACTCTGTTAATAGAAAAGTTATTAAAGTTGGCCTAAATAGAAAAGAAACCACAGCTGCACGAAGTCTTAGAACAGTTTCGCAGCCTCTGAAGGTGGCGAGGCAGACTAACGACGACGTCAGCTTCCTAGGCAGCTTCGTGCAGGTTAGCCTAGATCTACAACATGAGAACAGTGGCAACGGAGGCATGTGTCTGCTTATCTAAACTGTGTTCATCTACACGAACGGCAACACCAACAGCATAAGAGCAGTAACAACACTGGTATCAGCTCCTGCAAATAAACCTAGGTCCATGAAATTTCTGCAGTCCATGCCGAAGCTGTGTTACTACAACTTCTTTGCTATCGATTAACTGAGCTATCCAGATTAAACACCACATTGTCCAAACACAAAGTAAGCCATTGCCCCAGAGGAGTCCTGTGGTCTCTACTGGCTGCAAGACCGTGGATTTCTGGATCTAAATTGTACTCAGTTCTTGAGCTGAGGAAAAATTTGGAAAGCTTACGTCTGTAACCAGACTTGTGTGCCAGGGCAAACAGCTAAGCTTGTATGAGAAACGTGTAACACATTACATGTTTTATACACTTTATTACTTTATATATAAAGTACGTATACATAATATATAAAAACACTTCCTATATACTTTATATAAATATTACACATATTATTACTTACATATACGCACACACACTTTATTATTTATACACTTTATATGTGAAGTTGCATGGTGAAACAATCTCATTCTTTCACTGTACACTTTTATTTCTTAAATCAATCACACACACACACACGCACAGATTCTAGCTAAGGTGCAATAAGTTTCTGGATAAAATACTAGGTTAGTTCATTTACACTGAATATTGTTATCGCCACTACAGATTTAGTAAAACTTCAAGAACATTGAGGAGAAGGTAGATAGAAAAATACAGACAAAATCTGGAAGCAAGTCATTTTACCGGCTATAGTATCTAAATCAGCTGCTAAGAATGCATCCTATTAAAAACATCCAAAGCTTCAGTAGTTTTGCTTTCCATACCTCTTTTATAAATAACTACAAACCCTGTTGTATGATTCTGACAAACGCAAACAATTTGAAAGATCCCATCTACCAACCTACCTGACAGTGTCCCATACTGGATGCTGCTGTCAGTGCTTGCTGCAGCACCTGGCATTTTCTCAGTGAATTTTGTTCTTGGGAAGGAGTTACCCAAACAACATTGAGAAAGTATTCAAGGATATCACGGTGCCCTCTCAACGCACTATGGACTAAAGCACATTGGCCTTTCTTGTCTAGGCAGTCAGCCTGCATTGGAAAAGAAAAATGTTCAGAGTTTATTAAAAAAAACAGTCTAGTGAAATGTCATGGCAATTGGGAGAGGCTCCTGAAGACTGGAAAAAAGCCAATGACACCCCTGTCTTCAAGAAGTGCAAGAAGAAAGATCTAGGGAACTATCGGGTGGTCAGTCTCACCTCAAACCACGGAAAGGTGATGGAGTAAATTTACTTGGAAAGCATTTACAAACTACTGCTGTGAAACCCCTTCTGAATGGAGCACTAGGCAAAGTTAGCCTTTCCGAACGCTACCTTGTACTCCTCTTGCCCACTGCCACGGCAACACTTGCAGCATCTCCGACTACATTTTGATGATAAATGTTGGTATTTCACACTTGGATTTCTGAGCAACAGTAGTGCAAAGATTTCAACATCTGGTAGGTGCAGAGTCCCATTAACTTTACAGGAATTACTTATGCATACAAAATTAAGCATGTACGCGATCAGAGGGACAACTCGTCATGGAAGTCAAGATACGTTCTAAACTTTGTTTTAATCCCCAAAAGTCTCTGTGCGTTAATTGTGTAAGAATGTAATTATGTAATCAGTAACAACTTTCTTAGGCATTCACATTTTTGGCTGCAAGCATTGCAATCTTTGCGCCTCAACTTACCTTTGCACCCTTTTTGCACAGCAGTGAAACTATGTTCATGTGACCAGCAGCTGCTGCATAACTAAGTGGGGTCATTCCATTTTCTGAGGTCCCATCAATAGCAGCTCCAAATTCTAGTAAAAGAGTGACCACTTCTTCATGTCCAAGGTGCGACTGAACACACAGAACTGGAGCATTATTTAGTACTTCTGTCCTGTAATTTACATTTGCTCCTGCCAAGATCAGCAGACGACTCACCTAAAGTTTAAATTAAACAAAACAGTTTTTTCCGTGTTTGTCCTAATTTATGAACCAACACTGACATCTTGATTCAGGTCCTTCTATGTTACTCTCCAATTTTGATGCAGACACTATTGGTAGACACTGACTTTATCACATAGATAGCAACAGTTTAGAAAAGTTTAGAAATCATCTGTTAGAAAACCATTATACTACTAAACTGTGTCTTATTAACATAAGGCCTACCTCTCCCCCCAAACTCACTAGTCCTCTCTCATCACAATTTCAAAATCTGTTACAACAGTATGATTTTTGCAGCTATGTTATTTACTACTATTCTGCAGATTTACGTAACAGACTCCATTAATACAGAACCAGACTGCACATAAAAAAACACACAAAAAAGCACAAAAAAAATATTACTCTGCCTGCGTGCATGTGTGAAAGCAAATTTCCAGTTGAAAGGCTTAGCAAGTGGCTAAAATTGCAACTTCCAACTCAAATTTCCCTACCCATAATCCAGGGATCCTGGCATTTGTATTTTTTAATCTTCTTACTCTCAGAGTTTTTCCGTTTTAGAATTCACATAGTATTTCTGCATACAAGAAAATATGACTGAGCTCTGCTCAGCAAACCAGGTGGTACCTTTGATCTCCTGAAATTTGTCAATGCAGTCATCTATGCAACTGGGTTTTATGCCCTTACCTGTTTAAAACCTCGTGTGAAGGGATTACCATTAAAGGAAAAATATTTAAACTTACCTGCAAAGGCATTTATTTTTTTAACACATGAATTTTGTCTAGTATTTATTTAAAGGCTTTGTAGTTTCAATGTTCTTTGCTTTATGCTGCAGCTAAATTTTGTCATCTATGTGTCTGCTACATCACTTGCTTTTTGCTGAAATTAACAACTACTGATGAATAAACTGACTTTTGTACTCAGGCTTCACAAACTATACTAACCTCAAAATAACACTCTATCTCTGATCATAAACCAGAAGAAGCCTCTTAATTATATGCATAATTTAAATTACTGTGATACATGCAAGTTTTACTCTAAGAGGCTCTAGATAAATAAAAGCCAATTAATAATGTTAGGACACCATGATTCCACAAATAATTTACATGATTTCTTAGGAAAGCAGAGGTTTTGCTATGTTTACTGACACGGCATTTAACTGATCCTGCAGTGAGCGTTTCAGAATGAAAATAAATGCAGATTATCACAAGGATCAAACAAAAATGAAATCACCTACACCATAAAAACTTCAGTTATCAGAAGGATTATCTTTCGATAGAGAAACCTTTCTACTTCTATCACGTAGCATATATACGTTCTGAACATTAAGCATATATACATTCAGTAGGCTCTCCACATGTATAAGAGATGTTATTTTTAACACCTTCTTACGCTGATTCTGCGTTATTTAATACTTTGCACTAACTTAATAGCTCTCAACTGATACTACACGAAAAAAAGGCACTTTCAACAATCATGCTCATTTTACAGATGCAGCGCTTCCATTTACCTCTGGAGAAGTCTAAAGTCAAAAACAGAAAGGAGAACCTGGAAATGCTCAGACTTAACTATTCCTTCATGTAAACTGTTTATATTTAAATCTTCCAGTTTAACCGTGAGCGAGGTACAGGTCCTAAAAAACGTGCTTATCTATCTCTCAGCTTTCAAAACTCAGACAAGTACAGCTGACGCAGCATTTGCCACGTTAAGTGAATCACAAAGCTTCCCCTGACTTTTCTGGGGCACTCTTTGAGATAAGTATGACTAGCCTAAAGTGTGCTTACTTAAGTTGATCTGAATATCTAGTAATCTTCACCATTACATTTTGAAAGTAGTACAAAAAGAGATCAAAGAGCAATGGATGGAAAAATTGCCTGTCTCTGATTACCAAAAAAGTGAAGTGATCCAATACAGTGTAAAAACCTCAAGGAGGCAGCAATACCAAAAGAATTCATTCAGCTGCAGAACAACTGATTTACAACATACTGTCAAAAAAGAGGGATCTGAAATGTAATCTACCAAAAAGTATTTGTCACCTGTTGAGTAATATCATCCATATTCCAAATGTCTATTCAGGAATGCGGAGGAAGGAAGTTACTGATTCTCTTACAGAGTACTGCATCTCTGCAGACAACAATCCAGTACTTCCTCTTCTACTGTAACAGTTAAATAATATTTGTAGTACAGCTCTGGATGACTTATTGTAATGTTCTTTTAAGTTACATTTACAGTGATCTTAATAGCTGGACAGATTTTTGTTAAAAGTGATTCCAAGGTTCAGTAACAGGTTTGTAGCAGCAGTGGCAGATGGAGCACTGATTGCACACGAATGCTTATTTACTTACCTTCACATTGGGTGTATATATGTTTCTCAGAGAAGCAAGGGCTGCAGACAGTCCATCAGTACTATACCCAATCCACAAGGCTTGAAGATGACTGGAAGAAATTCCAGTCCTTTTACTGAGACCCTAACAGAAACGATACAACAGGAAATCTCTCTGTTTTTTGATTACAAAAAAATATTTACATCTTTATCTCATCAGCATAAAGAGAAGCTATAATTTGGTTTGTTAGCACTGGTAACAATTTCAGGTGTTCTGCATAAGCTTCTGATAAATTATTAAAGCAACTCTGATGAGGATCTCTAAGACACCTCCATATATAGAGATTATAAAACTCCTACTAAGCTGCCAGCTTTACCTTAAAAATGTGAGCCTTAAGTATATGATGACCGAGCTCCATAGTTTGTTGGCGGTTTAACTTTCCCGCCTGTCGAGAAAACATGAAAGCCAGTAGAGCGTGTCCGTTCCTAGTAAAAAGAACAGGATTGAGAGAGAACTGCATGTATCACTACACTTCCAGTGAATACCCTGATATAGTTTGTCACATTCACTCAGATGTCTTGGTTGGACTACTGAAACATACCTATACCTGGACATAAATTGTAAGATGTTCAAATATCATGAAAGGCAAATTTTCCAATGCTAGCCAAACCTTCACCAGTGAAGTCATCAGCGGCAACAATAACTGTGTTCTTTAAGTGTATAGCAAGTTCACTTATTAAAAAGAATTGAATAGGGACCTGAGAAACTTAAAACAGCTGCTTGTTAAAAGAAGTGTTCAAGTCTCTACCTGAATCATGAAATTTCACTGAAGCAAACAAGGATCTGTGGTTTGCAGATGGCAAACATGAAACCAAACGATATCTAAACCAGCTAGATCATGACTGCTGCAAACTTTCCACATGATATCTGGAAGTGTTTGCAGTTGCTGTCATCAGTTTATTAGTGAAGAAACAAGAGCCGTTTATGTTGTTGCCTTCTCTGTTTTTGTTAACCATTAAGTTTAAACAACATTATTTCCAGAACGAAATAATGCAAAGAGAAAAAAGGCACATTTCATGTTCGAAACACACTCCTAATATTTCTGCTGTAGCCTCACAGGAAGCCACGGTCAGATCTGACGCAGCTCTGGACACCGACTTGTGCAACCCTCCTCCTTCTGTGCTTGTTTCATCTCACAGTCAGAAACTACAGCTTCCTCAGAGAAAACCCAATCGTTTTGCAAAACTGGAAAAATCGAGTATCTTCGAAATTTGAGCTAGACTGTGTATTTAGTAATTCTACACCTACACTAGTTAGCTGTCAGTTTTCCAGAAAACAGTGGAATAACCTTGAGAAGAGAAGGTTACCACATACCATGTGTTAGTTAGAGTACATACTACTGGACCATTAACCATATGCTAATTAGACTGTTCTGGGGTGGGGGGAGACTTCTCACTCCATCCCCAGAAATATCTAGGCAAAACTTTCATAAAGAACAGCTTAAAATTCTTATTCTCTGCCTTCTGTTAGGGCATGCACCCTGCATCACGCATGCAGTGGGCCCAGGTGCAGCTAGAAACACTGAGAGAAAGCAGGAGCTAAAACCTCTGCAACTCCGATATTCTCCTCACAGGTGAGTGACTGCACTATCTGAACTCTTCTTGTTAAATCCACTCTGCAGCTCAGAGAAGTTTTGGGTCTGTGATAATTTTAAAAGTCAACATTATTTTGTAAAAACAAGCTGAAATCCTGCACAGAACTCAACAAAATGGAAGATGCAGACTGCCAGAACGTGCGTGTGCAATGACGGCTTGAATGAAGAGGGTTTTTAATTACTTTTGTTTTCTTTACCATCTCCAGTTTAACTGCTTCATGCTCTTGAACCCAAAGGAGGCAAGAAGCAACAAACTGAAACAATGCCACCTGGTGATATAATTACAGAAAGAAATGTTTAAATATTTTAATAAGAGCCAAAATAATCTGTTTTTCTTCCTATTCCTGCACTCTAAATACAAAAGGAGTCACTGCATGAAAATGTCAAGAGTTGTGATATATGAACAACAACATAACACTCATTTCCCCACGAAGGTACTGAAGTCAAATGCAAATTCTGTAAAGTCTATCATTTATCGTAACCTTTGATATTTCTCATCGAGTCCACCTCTAAACATGTACAGATTTGCCCCTGGAAAAATTACGAGGCTTGTGTTTCAACATCACTCTCTCCTCTCACCAATTTTTGAAAACAATTACATAAAATATTATGGCAGTCATTTGAGCATGATTTACTGCAGGTTTTATTTACCTTGGCTCACATAAGAAGTCAGTGTTTTCACCGTCTGCTCTCCAAACAAGCCATTCCCTGAAGGAAGGATGGCAGAACATACGTGTTTTGTCACGTCTTTTGATCAGAAAACACGAGAGGGCCTCCATCCTCTGGCTGAAGTCTTCCCATTGTTGTTCACCGTTTATTTGGCCTGCATTAATAGCTTGGAAAATCTGGTCATCTGTCATGGGATGTAGGGATGCCAGTGCCACATTTAAAATTGGCAGGGCTCGCTCAAAAGCAGAGTTTGTCATGAACTTCATGTTGCACTGAAGTAAATACAGTTCTGACAGGGACACTGGAACTACCTTGTAGCTTGCGCTTTTGATCACTAGGTGACCTTTTTGAAAAAGATCCAGTGTCAATTTCAAATAGAGATAAGATCCCAGGCTTCTCATGATCAGGTGATTACTCACTTTCCCAATAATGGCTGCATCAGCTTTTCCATTTAAAGATATGTTGTTTATAATTTCTTGACTGTTATTAATCCTGTACTGAATATAAGCATTCAAGTCGTCATGAATTTCTTTGTTGTCTGGAAAATCGTCCAGGGATATTCTGACAAAGGGCAGTGAACTTGCTACTTCCTGGGGTGGCAGAGAAAAAAGAAAAAGCACACACATGCATTACAGTATTCCAGCACTGAAGGCTCCACCACCTGTCTTTACTGTATTTTTCTTCTGTAAAAGCAGCAGCATGAGACAGATGAAAAATAAATTGGCCAGCTCTACTGTAGCTTTGCAAACAATGTCCCCTGCTAACAGATGAAACAGTATTTCTGCATTGCATTATTTTTCATAGGAAGGTCTCAGATATTTTACTAACGAAGCTTTGCAAGGGAACTGAGGGGGATGAGCTATACGAAGGATCGCTTCAAGTTTAAGGGAGTGGAAGACAGTTACCAAACGGGACTTTTTTTAAGAGAGGGGCAAGGGGATAGGGAGAGGCAAGAGAGAAAGTAACTTCCTTCATTAAGAAACAGATCACAAATGATCAAGAGAAAAAAGAATTATCCTCATCCTTACATCTTCCAGTAGCAACGTACCAGAAGTATACCAGCACCACATACACAGGTCTGTTTAGCTTAAGGTAAGTTCCAGTTCTGGCAGTCAGACACTTCAACGCGTTTATCTGAACATGTTTTTACGGCAAACAAATAAAGAGCTGAAAGACCTGAAACATCTTACACAGAGGTGTCTGTCAGGAGAGTTTAACAAGCTTCTCAACACCTTAAAAATGCAAAAATAAACTCTATTTCACTTAAAAATAGCTATTATGTATTTAAAAAGCTGAACTTTCAGGTTAGTGGGACATTTTGATCACTCACGCATCTCCAGAGAGGAAACACAATCCATACTACAGAAATCACTTGTTAAAATTCAACATTTAGTTGAGAGCTAAACTTTTGATGCGGTCACCTGCTTAGAGCACCAGTGGCTAAAAGGCAGATACAGAGTAAACTCTCAGAAGGGCTTGCTAAAGCACGGCTGTACCCTAACACAGCTAAACAGACTTCACAGCACTGTCTTGCAACTCGTTAGCTTGATGCACAGACAGAGCAAGTTCAGAGGCATCTGTCTACTTCTGCCTAAACACACCGTGAACTACTTTAGGAAACAGTTCCTAGAGACTAGGAATGAAGTCTTTTAACATTTCTTCTCCGAGTGACGGGTGCCTGGCTGAGCGGTAGCATAGGGCTGTATCTCAAGTACTGTCAAAACATAAATGGTGTTATCTCAGAGGTACAATGAAAGACTAATAACCAGTGACACTTTCTTTTTTAAACTGAAGTGCGCCTATCTTAAAACAGCCTGACTAGCGTTGGAAACCAAAGCAGAACTGTGCTCAGCATTTTGCTGGCCAGCGCAGAAAAACTGGAATTCTGAACGGTGATCCCTCACCCACCTCAGCCCTCCAATTTAGGGAGCCCAGGATGCTGTATTCCTGGGAAGCAGGCATCCCCCTGCACTCTCACTCCCCAGCAAAAAGCTGTCTTGGGCTTACCGTAAATATTTGCTAGTTGCATAATTCTGACACAGTACTCTAACTAGAAGTTTGGGAGCTGGATTTTTTCGAAAGGGGAAACTGGATGAAGATAGACAGAGGCCAATGGTACTGAGGCCAGGAATCAATTTCATCAATCTCCCATAGCTATCCCTTCCTAAGACGTGAAAACCCAAAGCCTAACACTAGCAGATATATGCTCCAACAAATAAAAGTTGGAGGCAAGACCACTACGGGTCTCTGACTTATCTTCAGCTCATTCATTTTCTCATTTCTCTCTTGGAAACCAATTAAACATACTCTAGTTCCATCACTTCTTGTATTATTAATTACACTAGCATACTCCAGAAAACGATAATAAAAAAAGCCTCCAATATCATACTTACCCTCTGTGTAAAGAAACATGCAATAAAGTATAAGGAGAGAGGGAAAAAAAAAAAAAAAGTCATGACTGAACTCCTCTCAAGAGTATTTTTTTTTACAATAACCTAGCTGCAGCAGGTTAGATGAAAGATCACTGTCTTTGAGGGGAAGAAAACAAGCTAAAAGGTGTTTTTACCTGAAAGTTAGTTCTTACAGTCACAATAAGCTTCAGCCAGGGAGGAAATTTAAAAATTATGTTTGTGATAAATGAAGAAAGTGTATCACCATAATCAGGTTTATGAAATTCAGCATCATTTAAACCATCTATCAAAATTATATATTCTTCCTCAGGAATTTTCTGCTCTAAAAAAAGGAAATGAAAAGGGAAAAGAAAGTTACAAATTTTCCTATGAAATGACATTTTTATCCCCAAATTTTGAAAATCAAGGAAGAAAAAAAAGATACCTATATGCACAGTAATACATTTTATCATATTTTGGCAGTATTCAAGAGATTAAACATTTAAACAACTGAAAAACAGTACTACTACTACTTAAACCAATCTACTCTTTATACTTAATAATGCTGTTCAAACAATGAAAACATTTAATAGCTTTGTTTTCTAGATCTCACAATTATAAAACAACACTGCTACAGAGTGCTAAAAAGTGTTAGCAATCACAGTGTTTTTGATCACAATTACTATGTATCCATTTCACTACTGATTTAAAAAGAATTAAAAGCTGAAGCACGGCTATTAACACGTAACAGACAGATATGGGAAGAAGGCATATGTATTTAGCTTAAGCTATTAACTGAGACCACTTTTAATTAAGAGCCACTTACATAAACATTATCAAACTCGCCAAACGAAAAATTATATAATTTGCAAAAATCAAAGGCATTGGTTTACACTTTCAGTTCTGATCAGAAAAATCCCAGGACTAAGCATAAGGTCTGCCAAAGGGTTTCACACATATTTGTTGACAGGGAGCAAAATTCAAGAACTGAAGACAGATTATCATAGGAATGCACCATACACTGCGTTCGCGCACAGACCAGGCTTCTGCTCTCTCTGCCTTGCCAAACATCGAGCACCTACTCAAGCTGACATATATACTGTTAGGCTTGCGGTTTTCAAGGAAGAGTTTGCTAGGTTTTCTTAAACACAAAACCATGTTCTTCCTTACATGCTTTCTTGGCAAACTGCTGTACCATTTCAATTTTTAAAAATAAGTGAAAAAGCACATTCACTTGGCAGGTGCTTAGGCACAGAAAATTTCAAAAAAAAAAAAAAAAAAAGGCATGACAAAAGTCAAAAGCATGTGAAAACAAAATCTTTCAATGCAAAATGTGTCAGCCTTAACTTCAAGTCACAGAGTTATCTTTGAGCTTTCTGGCAAAAAAGTAATAGTGAAGTTTCCATAATCCTTAATACATTTTATAGAATTTTATTTAAAAACATTAAACCTCTGTTTGAAAACCATCATTGTTATAATGAACAACCAAAATAAAAGAATCCCTTCTCTAGAGGCATTCTACTTCACTTGCTTTTCTTAGAGCATTAAAACACACGTACCTAGATTTTTTGACTTTTAGTAGCAGTTTGCCTGAAGTTTCTGAATTGCTTCCTGCTTGACCTACCTTTCCTGAGGTTTGAAAGTGGTTCCAGCACTCCCCTTTTAAAAGCTGCTGCTGGATCTTGGACACAAGACCTCAGGCTAAGCATGTTTTGTAGGTGAGGCTCTTTTATTAGAAGATCTCTGTATGCTGTTAATTGAGTTGAACGACAAAGTAGAGCTGCAATACTGTGCACAAATTCTGGGACAAGACACGTATATGTGTTGTCAGCTTGACAGTAGTGATAAGCAACAACCTGGAGAACTTGAAAAAAAAAAGGGGGGGGAGGGGAGGAGAGACCCAATAAATATTCAGATGGTTGCTACTTAGTCCAATTATAACAAAGCGTTACTAAACTTCTTTCAACTCCAAAATATTTTTCTGTGTTAGAATAGTTAACCAACTCCATAATCTGTGACAGATGGCCTGTATCGGAGGTGTAAACGCACAGAAAGGAGGACAGGGAAATAGACTTCAACCCTGTAGAGCCTGGAAGGAGGAAAAGAAATCAAGGTATCAGATGCAGGCAGGAAAATGCAGTCATTTGAGTCCCTGCTACTTGGATACAGAGGGTAACAGCAAAGAAACTAGGTAGGTACAAGGAAAATAACTTAGGCTCTACTAAGCAACCACAATTTAATGACATTGTATCACACACTGTAAAGATCTCAGAACTAATTTGATCATCATTAGGCAAGAGCGAATGACAGAGAGACACATTGAGGACATTCTCACAGAGCAAATGGACAGTAAAAGGACAACTGGCTTTATTCTGATCACTGCAGAGATATATATTATTTGAAAGCAGAATATAATGTATTTCTGTGCAAAGCAAACCACAAAGAAAAAGCAGTGTTCACGGTATACACAAAGTTGGCATGTCAGTGGCTTTCATAGCATTGTTCCAAATATACATGTTACTTTAAAGACAGCAATAATAACCCCATGTTTTCCCCACAACTATTCGCATAAAGCATGGAATTTAGACATTAATGTTTTTTCCACTTAGGTGAAAAAAAAATCCTAGCACAATAATACAATGCAGAAATAATTTTTAATGACTTACCTTTAGACAAACAGAGTATGGAAAATACAAAGACTACACTCAGACACAACTTCTGCAGTAGACATTAACATGCACTGTTTCATCTACCCAGAATCTTCATTCAGCAAATATAGATGCATTATACACAAATATTCTATTTTATTTTTCTTTCAGCATTTTGCTTTTGGAAGGTATACTGACCATCTACCTCATTAGAACAAAAGGCCTTTTTACAAGTAAAGGATCCCAACCTTCTCATACTCATATAGAACGAAAGGATGTTTTTAACCTATAGAAACAGAGCCACCGTAATCAGCTTCTCAAAGAGGGAAAAAAAAAGGCAGCAGTGAAAGCAAAAACGTCACCCCCCCAAATACGTACCTTTCTAAGGCCAAGCAGAATTCAAGATATAACTTGAAAGATAGGAAAAATCTGACTAGCTGTGAAACTTGCACATCTTTTAGAAGTGTCCAAGCTTGCTGCCTATTTTCCCACCACTGACTACTGGTATACCCGCAAGACTGTACAAAGCAGACCGTCTCCCAAGTCTGAGGTTTTCTAACGCACTGAAAGAGGAAAAGGCCATCAATGAGCAGAAAATTCACCTTTGAAGCAAGACGTCTCACCGAATCACCTGTTTGATTTTGGTGTTCAGGACTACCAGGACAATTCAGGTTCTTCATTGTATTGGTTCCGCTTGGAGGAGCGGATGGGGGTAACTGACTTAGGGGAATCTCCTGACAGGAGTCACCACCTATTTTGGAAAGGGAATAAACAGAAAAAAGATCAAATTTGCTGATAACAAACTACGTTTTATAGGAAAACGTCATGGAATATCTTTACTGTTAGAATAAAAATGAAAACTGAGCAATAATATTAAAAAAATTCTGTAGCTAGTCTGACCAATATGCAAGCACATATTGGCAACTTTACAGTTTTAAAGTAGTTCATCTAACTTCTTCACCGAGTCTATAAAATCACTGAAAGCAAAACCGTGGTGATGTGAAGAGTTTCCTTATGAAAATTATATACATATTCCATGACTCTCATGAACCAATAGATATTATGTGACTGAACTGCTGGAAAATATCAATAGGTTGCTATTACTGACGGGTTTATCTTCAGGTCACCGACCGCATATTTGAAGCGTCAGTAGTGGAAGTACTAGTAATGACAGTCGTACCCTCCCTCCAATTAATGGAGGCGCTGGATTAGCCAAGTGACAGAACCCTATGCATCTTAGTGGAGGGCTTAAGATGACAGAATTGGTTTCTCCATAGCTTGATTCTTGCCTCTACCCAAATTCTATGGGAAATGCGTGGTATACAGTGGGGAACACACATGTCATTTCTCTCCTTCCAAACAAGCTGATAGGAGAACAAGCTTCTGCAGTCACATTGCCCACAGAGTTCAGGGTAAGCACTGCATGACAAGAGGAAGAGACTTCACAGTGTTCCCATTTTACTTTCTTTTTTGAGGGGCTGAGATCGTGGTATATTTAATGGAAGGTATTTGACAAAGCACACAATTTCAACAGTTTCCTTTCCTTGGGGAGGCAAGGAAACCTCCCCAAATTGCCATTTCCTTGGCAAATGCCTGTGGAGGAGTTCATGAGGCCCTACTAACTTATGTCTGAAAAGCAAACAACATTCTGACTCTTGTTATCAGTACAACAACTCAAACAACAATTCAGAAGAGGAACATACTTTTAGGGGATGAATTAGGACTATGTGAAGCTATTTGCCTCATGCGACTTCCATGGCAGCTAAGTGCCACCAGCCGTGAAATAATAGCAGTCTTCCCAAATCCCACATTTCCGGTAATAACTGCTCCCCTGTTCTCTGCCAGATCTGTATTCTTCAGCTTTTCCTCAATCACTTGAAACAGCCATTCTCTTCCGACAAACACAGAGTCCGTTGTTATGCTTGGCACTTCAAACAATAATGGCTTCAGCAAAATGTCTTGAGGCTTATACGGGATGAAACGACCTGAGAAGTGGCAGTGGGGGAAAAGTTTATTGGAAGAAACTAGACACGCAATAAAACAGCACTATTTCAGAAGATCAATCATTCAACAACCTTGTTAATCCCGTTAATAATCAGGTTTCTTCTTAGGACTTTTACTCAACAAAAAACTGATTTGCTCAGCACAGGTCACCTCCATCATTCCTGCGTGAATTAGAATCTGAGATAAATTACAAGTATCATTTGAGGAATCGTTTTGGTTTAGGATTGAACTTGAGTTAGTAAGTTGCAGAATCCAGAAGTTTTCTTAAAAATGTGTCAATAATTCTATAAATTTGGAAGTCTAAAATATGCATTAATTAAACCCAATGTTAGAGAAATGCTGTTTCAGCAATAATTAACAAATATGAAAACATGTAAACGAAAGAGGACAACTTAAAATCTATATAGGCTCTCAAGACTTATTTTGCCAGGAGGTTGCTTACCTTTTTCTGCTTTTAATTGTTATTGGTCAATTAACCGAACCTGCGGTTGACTAAGTTAGTCAAGAACATAAAAACTTGCATACCTCTCTTTCATTTAACATAAATCTGCTATTTTGAGGTTCAAAGATCAGAAACACTGAAACATATGTTACTCATAAACAAGTCTAACGGTATTAAATCAGTTTTCTTTCTAAATCAAAATCTGAATGACACTCTCTGAAGATTAATACAGGGTAGTATTTCTTAAGTCGCAGAACACTTATCTAAATGTCACAGATAATAAAACTTGGCAATCAAGGAAATTTTCAGGACAGTTTCTAAATACTGAAATAGTACACAACTTCCCTTTGGATATTCACATAAAGTACCCTGCACTGGTCAGACATGCATTAGTTAGATAAACAATATACTGATATATTATAAAAAGCCATTCAAGCAATTTCTAAGCCACAGCGCTATGCAGAAAAAAGTGTGAGCAAGCATCCCATTTTCAGACATGTTGACTAATCTGTCAGAAGCATATCTTCTGTGCTATTAACAGATTATACTTAAAATATGTTGTGGGATGGGGGTGTTTACAAAGATTTCGGAACATCCACATTACAAAACTACTGCAGAAAAGCGTGACTGTGCCAAGACAGATGCAGATGTAAAAATATATACCTTTAATTTCCTGTTGCACTCTTCCCCCAGCAGTGTTGTGCCAAGGTAAGCGAATTGAAGTACGTAAAGGAGCATTTCTTTGTCCATCCAAATAACTCAAATCTTCCAGTTTGGTTGAACTTGTTGCTAGGGTATTAGAGAATTGAAGTTTATTTTTCTCTCAGCATAAATAAAAAAAACTATTCTTATTTACTACATTTTTGTTTTCAGCATAGGATTTTATAGATAAGTTTTTCTAGCCAATTGTATCTCCTGCCTTTTTTTCATGATGCTAGCAGTTTCCCTCTATGGAGGTAGACTATTTTGAATAGACACTCTTTATTAAAATACCACTGTCTCCCCTAGTCAGATGTGCTTCTTTTCCGTTTTTATTATGTATTATACTGTATATATAATACATATGTATTTAATGTAAAATATTACCATCACAATTCAAAATGACACTAAAATTTGTGGAGAGAAGCCAAAAAGAGTGAGACACTACAATTTTATTTAGTAAAATTTCAGTATTTCCATGCAGAAACACTGCAAAAGAACTATATGATTTCATTGGAGTTGCTGGAAATATAAATTTTGCAGTTAGACTACCACTGTTATGTATTGTACTAGACACTGTATGTATTATTCCACCACATCCAAGACATTAACAATCATTGCATTAACTAAGTCTTTACACGTTCCTCTGCATAGACAAACACAGTTCTAAACCACACAAAAGCTCCTGATGAGGAACCATCAGCAACAGTAGTTGTTCTCACAACAGCCCTCATTTAAAATACCTTCTCACAATGTCCTCCAATTAAAACACAACGTTTCTACAGTACAATGTCACTCTGAGAATGGGAATGGTAGCAAGTCTGTGTGTCTCACTTTCAAAGCCACCTAGAGCAGCAGTCCAAGTCACTGACGTTATAACCTTTACAAAACGCTTTCTAATCAAGTTCATTAAAGATTTCATTAGATTTTTCCCCACTCAGAAGGCATGCATGTCTGCCTTAACCGCCTCACATGGTAAACAGTATTCATGTTAATACAGTTTCCTTTTTACTATGGGAACAACCCTAACCCTATCAGCAAGGTCAGAAGTGTTAGGCAGAGGTTCAGATATTAGTTGCTGGTAGACTCATTATGAGAAAATAGTTACTTTTTTTTTTTTTCCCCTTGAATGCTGCAAAATAATGCATAACATTTTTTCTTCTTTTTCTTCAACTTCTACACCAAAATAATAGATACAAAGAAAAGCTAAAAAACCAAAGAGCAGACTTGCCAAGTTATATCAGATAGGTATACTTTTTCACCAAAAATAAACAGAATGAATATTCACATTAACTAAAGCAGTGTTTAAATTGGTATCAAATCCAAAAATCTTTCATCTGAAAAACTCTGCAGCAATTACACTGCAGAAAGAAAGAAAGAGGTAACTTTGGGTAAAATTCAAAATAAAATCTCCAAATATATAATACCGTCTTTTGAAAGAAAAGTCTAACTTCATGAAGCAACATGTTTACGTAAGTTCTTGGGTTTGAATTATTTTGGATATTTATTTCAACAAGATTAATGTATGGGGGGCATGAAGAGAGGTAAGAAGTAGGCAGAAAACCAACCCTCCCTCCCTCCCTCGACCCCCTGCAGCCAGGGAGGTGGTGGTAGGAGAACTAACTCAAACCTCCAGCCCTCTCTACTCCTCTTCCCAAAAGACTTATCTGGGGCTGCCCCACAGGCAGGCTGCTTCATGCATTTGGTGACACTACCAGGGCAGGCAGATTCAAAGAAGTCCGGGTTGGGCTCTGCACTCCACAAATATTAATGCTTCCCTAGCCTCAGAGATGGAGGCTACACAAAGTTGCTACAAATTGCCCTTCTTCTGCAGTTGAAGCAAGATAAGGAATCCTCAGACTCTTGTAACATATTTTAGCATAAACTTCAGCTCTTCGTACTGTCAGCAGCTTCCAAGACTTAGGAAGGGTACCTGTCCCCAGCGTGCACAGGGCTTGCCCCGTATTTCAGACATTACAGGTTACATCATCTTCTGACCATGTAAATACTACCTGCTAAGATGATTCCTACAGGGATTAAGAGGATTGCAATGAATCTTTTTCTTTCACCTCTACATGATATGGGAAGGTGAGAGGCTATGCAAATTCCACTGTCTTCTCTCAGCACACACTGTCATACTGTAGTGTTTGTGCCATGAAGTTGAATAAACAAAAATAGTGCTCCTATTACAATCTATAACACACTACAGGTTCATAATTCAAAGTGGTATTGTCAGAACTTAAAAATTCTCTCTACAGGAATCATTGACGTCTGCACCCTAACCTCAGAAATGCGAGGTTTTCTTCATTCTGTCTTGATCAATTTTTTTAATTCTAAACTTTTAGTCAACTAAATCTATTGTCACATATAGGGTGTTCAGAAGCATGGGTGGGTGCAATATATCAGATCATTGGTTCACAGGGTTACATTTAGGCAAGCGAATCTCGTGGTACAGTTAGAATTCAGTGGGCTGTTCTAACACTCAAGTCAAAAGTGCTTTTCCAGAGATTCATCTGTTACAACACTAACAAAAAGTAATGGAAATGCATTTCCTGAATGGGATGGTTGAACTAGAAGGCAAAGTTTCAGGTAATTCTTTAAAAACAAAACTACGTTTGCCTTGTTCAACAGGAATCAGAGTACGATTTCGGTCTTAGTGTTAGAAAGATTTACAGATCTAGCAAACGCAAACATACACAAAAGCAACCAACTCAAGGAGTTAGCTGGCACCAGATACAGTTCTGAAATGATTGGTGGATATTAAAATGTCTCAGAAGTCCTGATCTAACCAATACCTATTAAAACTCATGATAAAAGCCCTCTACGTAACAATTTTAAATAATTTATATAATATGCATCTATTCAATCTACGCTTCTTTTTTTTTTTTTTGTACTGTAAAAATACTTTCATACCAACAACACAGACTTAAAAGAAAGCTTCAGCAGAAATGTCATATCATTAAGAACATCCCTTTTTCTATCTCACGACTTTACCTGCAACAGAGTTTGGACGAGGCATTATTAAAGAGCTACAACTTTGAGTATAGGGAACAGGACCCTCTCCTGTAGATACTTCTTTTGGCAAATTCTCAGCAGATCCAACTGTTTCCTCTTCTGCAACTGGTGAACAATTATCTGTTCTTCGATCATGAATAGCCCCCTGCTGTGTTCCAGCTCTGAGACTCCCATCCTTACTCCACTCCAAACTGGATCCACTGCGATCATCATTTTCTGATGAACTTGTTATGGTTGCTGAAAAAGGAAAGTAATTCTAAAGTATACTTCAGAGGGACAAGGGCCTGCTCGTGTTAAGATGCATCATAGTTTTCACATTCACGTGGCTTTTCAAGCCCACAGATAATATTCAAGTAGTTATTCATAGGACACTTTGTTAAATTTGAAGAATATTATTTTATCTAAAAAAGCCAAACAACGCCGTTTCTCGAATCAGGAAAAAAACCTGAGAAAGCAGTCAAGGAAATACATGTTCTGAAGAATCCTGTTACGTCTTTAGACCTATGTAATTCGTGCTGAAGAAAAAAAAAAAAATTCTGGTTTTATATGAAGGATCTACTACTTCACCAAAACATGTCCCAATGTCTTTTAAGAATTAAAGCTCTATAACACATCTTGCAAATTTTCAAACCAGCTGAGAAACATGGAGCTATTAACAAAAGCTCATTAAATAAGACATATAAATAGCATCTAAAGTAATAATAAAATATAAATATATATTCTGGATCATTCACATTTTTAAAGATATATATTTTGTAAAAAGAATTCAAATTAAATCCTTTGAAAAAAATTCTCACAGCTCTTCCAAAGTTGGCAGGCTTGCACCAACCCTATTTGTGACCAAACATCCTGTATACTGTGCAGCATACAAAATAAAATGCAACGCTGTTAAGAGATTTAGCTCATGGAACAAAGGTAGCTTAGGCACATTAGTATGGCAATTAGCCTGCTCTCTCATACATCTGGCAAACTAATCTTGATATACTGCTTCCAGCAACCGGGGTTATCTGTTCTACAGCACTGCTGTCTTTGCCAAACAGGAGTTATGCTGTGCTAGACCCTGAAACTGTTTGCTAAAAGACCAACAGCTCACACAAAGGGTATTTCACCTATAGGACTACTAACCTGACATAAAAGATGGAATACGCTAATCTTACCTGCAGCCTCAGCCCTGGTCAAGTATAAGCTAAAAACGCTCTGGGGGACTTCAAGCAGAAAAACAGTTGCTGGAAGAGGAGAAATGGGGGGTGGAAAGAAAAGGGGAGGGGGGGGGACCAAAACAGCAGGTGTTAACTTATATATGTGCTCAAGTGCTTTATCTGGGAATACAAAGCAGAAATGAAAAATCTATACACCAAATTAATTCACTAACTTCCCTGATACCTTCCGAAAACAAAGCTAGCCATTGTAGGAATGCAAACTCGATTTAAAGAAAAAGGTTTTACCTCTACTCCTGAAATTTCAGATTAGTAAACATTTTATTTCTACACACACTGAAACTCAGGACCGAGGAAAACTCTTAAGGTCAGTTAAGCTAGCATTTCAGGGGCGAGGAGGGACACTGCATGCTGATAACTACATATGCTAAGGCCACTAAGAGAGTCAGTTCCGTCTCCCCCCCTCCCCGAGATGAAGCAAGTACGTCATTACGTTCTGTTTCACCAGCTTGTATCCTTTCTTGCTCATAGTTATTTCAAGATGTCCATAAATGTTTCTCTGACATACTTACTGCACGTTAGATTAGGTTAGACCACTAAAATACCGTACAAAATTCCTAGTTGTTATGTTCAGTGTTTGTTTTTCTAAAGGTTGCTCACGCTTGACAAAACTGCACAAAATATTTGTAGCCCTCTATTTTATTGCGCAGATAGTTTATGGAAACAATCTCAGGAGGAAGGGGAAAGTTTTCTGAATAACCTGCCTCTCTGAAGTAGGTCCATATCACTGTTTCCAAGCCTTCAACGACAACAAACAGGTCAACTTACCCTACGCCGCTGTTCCCTTGATATTAGGGAGTTACAGAAAGAGTGGCAACAAACAGCCCCCCAAACTAGCAACAACCGTCCTCTCAAAGAAAGTTTCAGCAGAGGTAGAGTTCTGATGCTTTCCCATGTCCTTCCACCAGAACCAGCATGGGCAGCTTTACAACATCCTTTCCACAAACTATAGCTTGGTTGTCTACAAAGATACAATAGCAAAAGGCACCACCCAGTTCCTTTGCTAATCAGTTTTTGTTCTGTAAAAAATTCACATGAAAAAATTGCTCTAGTTACGAGAAAAGCAGCTGCATTATGCTATGTTTTAAGGAAGACTCAGAACTGACATCCCTAAGATTTAAATATTTCCCAGCAATTGTTCAAATTATAGTATACAGTGAAAAGGGTATCAGGATACGTGAGCACCGTTTTTACATTCCTTTCCTAAGTACTTACTACATTTCACTGTCAGGAACAGCATACAAGGCTGGCTGCACGTTTGATCAGACCCAGTACAGTATATGAACAAAATTTAAATTATTAGTATGTTTAACATAATCTAAAATTGTTAAAGTATTTTAGTGTAGTATGGTATATAGCAAACCATACGCTCAAATAAAGGTTTTATTCGCTTCTGAAGTCATTATAAACAAAACAGAAGACATTTACAATTAGTTTCTCAATACTATGTGAGACTTTCTGGCAGGAAGCTGTGCTACCGTCTTTTGTTATGAAAAAATAGATGTCACAAACTAAGCAATATACAGCTAGACCAATCCTTATCTATAAGGCATTAAGGAGCACCCAGGTGCTTTTTGATGCTGCATTACAGGACAGCAGCGGTGTGTGAACACTAGCGCTGCAGTGAATTGCTTGGTGAAAGCTGTACCAACCCTAACTGCATTATCTAGAGTGCTCTGACTATTCCAGTTTGGTGGGCTGTGGTTATAAGAACATTTAGCTCCTCATAACTGTCGTTAATAGTGCCTTCTACAATATCTGAAGGACTAAAGAGCTTGTACTCCTTAGAGACCTACTTTACTGATATTTGAGAAAATTCTCTGATGTGCTTCAGTAAGAATACTTTGCAGATGTATACTGCTTGCTGTATTTTTAATAATCACATTACTCTAAGCTTTACTTAAAATACTTTCAATACTTACATTAAATTTTCACAAAATAAATGAACACTTGCAAGTTCATCTAAATTAATGAGAACAGCATATCGGTATGATAGAAACCTAGTCACTCAACATCATCTTGGAAGAAGGCTACATCTAGACCAGAAATGAAGTAATTCAAAAAACCCCCCAGCCACAAGTACTTCAGTTGATGAAGGGAAATAAAACAGAAAAGAAAAAAAAAAAAAAGCTTGATAAGTTGGGGGAAAGGGACGCTGTTTGATTTTCCCTGTTACGGTTTGTTAGGTGGGTTAAAAAGAAGAAAGAAAATGGACTAATATCAAAACACAACAAGCATTAGTTGAAGATTATCAAATTACACAGTTCTGGGACTTTTAATGTGAACCAACTTCTAAAACAAAGTATTTCATTACAACTGCTAGTTTATACGTAAACGTATACAACAAAGGAAAATACAAAATTGGATGAAAGGGCATCAGGAAAAAAAACAATGCTAGTTCAAATAATATCTGTCTGAACTTTGGGTCCTCCTAAGGCTAAAATTTTAAATGCTAAATGTTTATTTGTGATAATTCTACACTGGATCGATAAAGTCATTAAAAAGCAGACAGCCCTCCGTACTAGACCTTTCACACAACGCAAAAGCACGGACTGCTCCTTGGCACTCTGAGGCTGGTCAGGTCCAGTGAAGCTCCTCTCGCACAGCCACTGCATTGCGGCTTCAGACTTGCAAGGCAACGAGGTACTCATACAGCCTAGCTTTTTCCTCCCTCAGCATCGTGTTCAAAGAAATTTAAGAGCTGATGCTTAAAGCCAAGACCTTGGATTCTCAGAAATGCCAATAATAAGACATAGAGGCATAAGGCAGCACAGGAAAAAGCTTTTCAGGCACTCCATTAACCTTTGCAAACAGCTTAGACTGAACTTCTGTAGACAAATTTACTGAATTATTATAGTTGTGTCAAAAAAAATCTGGCTCTTCCTGCAGTACTTTCAAACTAGCACTCCTCCTGGGTTGAAATGTAGCATCAGGAAAGTTTGCCGCTCAAGATTTCCATATTGAAATTGCAGCAAGTCTCCAGAAAAGCTTACATTTTGGCCAGGAGCCCAGGCTTTTCCCCTACTTAGTTCATTGCTGAAGATGAAAATCTGCCTCCACTTCTATTATGTCAAACTCAATAGAAACAAAGAAGAATTCAACTACAGGAGTAAAGCATCAGAGGACTAGCAGATGCCTGAACCAGCAAATAAATAAATAAATAAATGAGAGAAGGAGAGTGAAAAGAGATTTCCCATCAAAGAGCCTGCTCGCCCAGAAAACGTAGTGGGAACAGAAATGCAATGGAACCCGAGGCAAGTAGCAGGAAAGAACAAGCTATTTTCATGGTTGGATGCACTCTGCCAAAGATATTATAAAAGATTCGCTTGCTAAACACGATTTAAAATACACATTTACTATGATTAACAAATCTGAGCGCACAATTAGATGTGTCTGTAAATTAAAAACAAAAATAAGAGTAATTTATCAGAGAGGTGCCCCTTATTTCCTTTCTCAGGAGCATCCCTTTCCAGAGAACAGTACAGTCTGTAAGGAATTAAGCAACTACATTTTTGAGGCGTGTTAATTTAGTTTCAGTTCAGGCTCCTTTTTATCTTCTCTAACGTGCTATGTATGGATCAAGTCTAGACCTGAACCTAATGCTTTCTGAGCAGATACCCAGAGAGTTGGTTACATTCTTCCCTGCATTTAAAGACATGAGCTACAGCTCAACAGAACAGAGGCAGATCATTTTCACAAAGGTCCCAAGATCATGAGCCACGTGTACTCCATTGAAGGAACTACACCGTGTTTCTCTGCACCAGTATCTTCTCTCTTTTCTTCTGCTCCTGCCCTCAGATTCATACTCTTCACAACTTCACCATCCCTCATTTCTTCTCTCTCTCTCTCTCTAAGGGCCTTCTTTTCTTGTTTCTTATATTTTTGAAACTCCCTCTTTTTCATCAATTCAATAAGTAACTTTTCTCACCAGATTCAAAAATCTTCTCTTCAAGTATTACTCCTTACAAGGTTATACACAATGGATGACACAGTTGTCATGACAATTCTGCTGTTTCAAACAAACATGAAGCTAGCTCTGAGCTCATTTAAAATGTGTATTCAAAGAATATTTCAAGCTTGCAAAGCACGGGTAGTACAGATTTGTATCAGTATCTACATTTGTTCACTTGAGGGAAAGGAAGGTCTCCCTCAAGAACAGACTTTTTAAAAGGTTAAAAGAATGGAGCTCCAGACTGCCTTTCCGGGAGGAGAGAAGAAACCCACCCCAACCCAAAACAACAGCTGCTTCTATATGGACTCAGAAATATATATTATTTCATAATAATCCCAACCCAAAACAACAGCTGCTTCTATGGACTCAGATGAAATATATGTTATCAATACTGTAAATGTATTTATTCCAAGACTTTAGTATATGTATAAGAAATGCATCTTCTGTGACATTAAACTTTATATACAAAACATGCGGGTATCCCTCCCCCAGCCTGCATCACCTCACAGAAGAGCACAATAATGCTGCAAGGATGTAACTAGCAGAGGAAGAAAATCCCTTTTTCCCCTTCACCTATCAGAGGAGCAATTTAGTACATTAGTAATGCCAATTTTCATACTCAAATTGCTGCTGTGCTCACTGATATAAGCACAAGTTGTGTGCAAGCCAGCATATAGACATTGAACTTTTTTGCAAAGTCAATTAATTTTTTTTTAGTGCAGTACCACTTTAAGCAAATGAACAAATACATTGGTTTAGACCTCCAAACTACTAAGTATTCCAAACCAAAATGACTCATCCTTTTGCAGAAAGGAAACACTCACCATTTAGAGAAGCCATAACAAAGGTCCCAAATTTTAAGAAACATGCCTTAGCAGAAAAGCCTAATATTCCGTCTACACATCACTTATTGAGCTAGCACAAGCTCCATCACAGATGTAGTTACGAATGTAAAGTGTCTTCGTAACCATGTCTTATCTGATAAGCTTGTTTTGCTTTGATTGCACGGCTCTCATAAATTTCTATGTCATTCAGCGAACCGGTTTAAACTACTGTATCAGAAAGACAAAATCACCCCTATCTTCCAATGTTTACAATAATAAATTATGTCTTCATGAGTTGTAGTTCCAACGTTACGTTCTACCGGTATGGCTATACAAAAAAAAATTTCAAACATTGAAAGGACTAAGTTACACTAACAGATATTTTCTTACAGCAAAAGATTGTCTTTTCCAGGCATACATTCCTGCATTTTACATCAATATACTCACCTGTACAATCATCTGAGTTTGTTTTATACTTGGATCAGTGTAATCAAAGCAGGAAAACCTAAACTCTGACTAAACCTAACACTCACGCATTACGTTCCCAACTCAGGCAACGCAGGAGATCTATGAACCCAAGAGCAGCAATTCTGATACACCTTTTCACTTTCAGCAGAACATTAATGCTATCTCCAAACAGGATCTTACACAAAAATGGCTGGCAATGTCATCTAGCAATTTACCATGCAAAAAGGTCACAAAGTCATTTTCTAAAACCGAGATGCTTAACTGTTATATAAATTACTTAAATGAGACAGACTTATGAGCCATAATGACCATCTCTCTTAAGGTATCTGATCAGTGAAGATAATATTATGCCATAAGTTACTACTTCTAACTCCTTCACTTTATAAGAAAATACCAAAACATTTGTACAGTCAGAATAAATCATTATCAACTCTGTTATGAAAAAATACTATCACTAATTCTTGGCAGGTCCTACACCAATGCTCACAAAGGAAGACTTCATAATGGCAAACAGAGAGAGAGAGAGAGAGAGATCACTTTCACTTGAAATGCCTTCTATCAGCAAAAGTTGTAATTACCAAGTACTATGTTCACAGTCAAATACAATGACATCTTAAGTTTATTTTGTTATATCTAATCATTTAAGATTTAGAATTGCTTCCCTTTACAGTCTTCCTGAATTTAGCCCATCAGCTAGGCTTAAATAGAACTGAAAGATCACTTTCCCAGAGTGAGCGAGAAAGCTTCAGGTTATGTGGCATTTTGTGCTTTTTTAGATTTTTTTTTTTTTGTGGTAAGCTTAGCAGTTGTTACAAAATCAATTTAATAAGAGGTTAAGTGGTTAAGGAGTTAGCATTTAGAAAAAAAAAAAAACAAAGCAATAAGGAACAAACCTTCTTATTATAGTTTATAATAATGCAAAAAATAAGCTTTTTATATCTTATCCTTGCCTTCTTCCAGTAAATAACGTTATGGCAGTCCCCTGGATGCTCAAGGATACAGCAAGATAATGATACAGACAAGGATCCGCTAGGGAACAGAACTAGAGATGACAGTACATACAAGGGAGCAAAGAATTTACAGCTCTTTGATACTGAATAGTCTTACTGAAATATTTAGATAGTTGGTAAAAGGAGCCACTTAACAGCTGGTCTGTGATGGTAGCTACTTCTCTAAAGTTAAATGATTCCATACTTGGGACACATAATAGAATCTCAGCTCAGCTTTCCATTCAGTAGAGGTTCATACAATTTCACCTATTCCTTGATGAACCACTTGGGATCACTTTGATCCCAGTTACCGAATAGTTTGCATTGTTTTTAAACGGTTTGATTTAGGCTATCCTCACAGGAAGTAGCATTAGTTATTTTTTCCTCAGTTGGAAATTAAACTTGTGTCAAGTTTGGCCATTATGAAACGTACTGTAAACTGGCACAGGTTGCCCAGAGAGGTTGTGGAGATTCCGTTGTTGGAGACGTTCAAAACCTGACCGGACATGGTCCTGGGTAACCTGCTCTAGCTGACCCTGCTTGAGCAGGGCAGTTAGACTAGATGATTTGCAGAGGTCCCTTCCAACCCCAACTATTCTGTGATTCTGTGATTGTAGAGACATATACAATGCAAGACGCAAAAGATAGAATTGAAGAAAATACATAACAGAACAAAACAACAATAGGGAAACTTAATAATTTTAAAGAAAAACATGGAGACATTAGAACTCTACTGGAAAACAGAAAAAGGAAGAAAAATGCACACCTAAAAACGGCAACTGTTACAGGCAACGAGTATGATTTCAGTCTTTCAAGTCTGGAGCATTTGGAACTGCAGCCAGACCACTGCATAAAATCAAGCAGAAGAACACAAAGTAGGTACTCAGACTTGCCGTATTAAGAAAAGGTTAATTCTATTAATTGCATTAGTAATTAAGACGCTTACCTATAATTCCACTGTCCTTGCTCTCCAGGGTGGAGCTAGGGCTGCTAATGGTTCCACAGGGACTACCTTTGTGGTCTGCTGTTTTGTCAATACAGCTATTGAGAGTTGAGCAGGGACTATCCGTGCTAGGTGAGGTAGTGCTGCTTGTGAGAGTAGAGCAGGGACTGACTCCTTGACTGGCTATTGTACACTGCAATGTGAAGCAAAAAAAAAAAAAAAAAAAAAGTTATTGCATGGCAGGCAGTACGTATCTACTGTCTTGAAAATTAGAAACATCAATAAGTAGGGTAAGAATAAAGCAAAGAACCCATTTCCAAGCAAGAACTTTAAGAACTGAAGCTTTATGTTGATGTGGGAGCCCTAATGATATGTTTACAAATTATTCCTATAAGTGACTTCTCAAGAAAAAAGGGAAACGGTTCAGCCCCAAAAGTGGCAGTGAGGCAGATTTCGTCTCTATTAAACATTTCCCCGAAAAAATCTCCAGTATTGATTCTCTATGTTTAAAACACTGAAACTACAGTCTTATTCACATATCACTATCACTGAAACCCAAACTGATGTGCCAAGATTTACAAGGGAGAGCGGAAGGGGAAGGTAAGAGAGAGACTGGTCGTTACTAGCAGCTACTGTGCAGTTTTGGTCAACAGATGACAGTTTCACACAGATACCAGGTGCTTCCTTTTCCCAAATTCTCCTATCCCCCAAAAGACAGAGGGGATCCATCAAATGGAAGTGAACTTCTCGGGTGGGGAGGGAAGTCACAAAGCATGCTCCTGTTTTAACAAACTACTCGCATTTTCCATTCTCACAAATCACTGAGAATAGCAGTTAAAAAGGTTCCTCCTAAATATATACTGAAATACAGAGGAGGGAACCCTAGAAGCTTCTCTTCAAAAGTTTTTCCACCTTTTTTTTCTGTGGAAGAATGCAAGATTATCCCTAAGTAAATAAATAAATAAATAAATAAATGAAAATTTGCTTGTTCTAATTCATTTACAACTTCCTTATCATATTTCTATTATTGTGGACAGTATTTTGCTAAATATCAAATAACTGCAATTAGCAAAAAGAAGAAATAATAGTGGTCCTCTCTCAGAAACAGGATGAATACTAAAGTACATTATTTTCTATTATCCTACCATGGCTTCACTTTTCTCTTCTGTATGTGCAGAGGTTGGGATCCCTTCTCCCAGTAAAAAACCCAATCTGGTCATCAATTCTTGTGCTGCAGGAGAACAGCTTGAGTCTTTATCAGGCTTTGCTTTGGAGAGGAGAGGAAAAAAAGTTGAAGATTACAGTCTTATCCATGGAAACTGTTGTAAGAAGCAGAAAAAGTACAATCAAATTTGAACACCAGCTCTTCTGTCAGCAATGTATCATCTAATAGAGCAGCTGATGCCATTTCACTTTTTTGTCCTTTGGGTTTAAATGTTGGTGGGTCTTGTATGCTTTGCACGTCTTGCACAAATTTCACAGGGGAAAAAACCTTGGCAGTTGAAAAACGAAATGGTTAAGCGCAACCAGTTACTGTATTAAGAAAAGACAAACAGTTCGTCATAGGATCTACGACTAATATGATGATTATCATCTACCAATAGCATTAAGCTCAGTACTGTCAAAGCTCAGTGTCAGCTGAAATTCTACTCAAGTAATTTTTTAAGAAAATTTTCTGTAAAAGTTACAAATATGAGAAGTAGAGGTGAATAATACAGATGTTTTGCAATCTCACAGTTAACGCTGCAACTAACACCATACATTGTTGTTGTGCCTGCTTTGCAAAAGATGTGACACCAGCTTTAAAGATCCTAGCTCTTCTGGTTACAAAAATATGTAATTTTATCAGTACAGAGTTGTTTTAAAATACCTTTTAGTTTTCAGACATATTGAAACAGTAAGGTCAAAAAGAGGCCCCCTCTTCAATAAAAATAGCCATTGAAAAATGGCAAATTTGTTAGCTATTTTCAATCACCTACCTCTTTAGGGAAAACCCCTACTGCTAATACAATTTCTCACAAACTGACATCTCCTGCCATTTTCTTTGACAGCAACAGCTTTGGCAACACCTATCAATCTGTAAAAGCCCTTCCCTAACAGTAACATTTATACAGTATTCAGATCTGTGGTCCATTGAAAAGGAATATAATAATCTGTAGGCCTGTCCTCTTCTCAGGTATAAATACTCAGTTTATCAAGGAACATGACCTACAGACTCTGAGAAACAGCTTGCATCAGGAATTTTCAGCTAGTGAACTGCTGGCTGTGAGCTACCACCAGGACTCTGCAAAGAGAGGAGAAAAGCAGGAGCACCTGTAATGCTACTTCCCAGCCAGCGCAGTCTGGGCAAGGCATCAAGCCTGTGGATCCCCACTCTATTTTTCCCACTAGCACCCCACTTCTCACTCACGCTGCTGTCTTACAGCCCTGAAGAGCTCAGTCCTGCCTCTAGCTTCTTGCTATGGCGTCAGTGCAAGTCAGTCTACTTTCCCCTAAAAATCCGGTGGACCTCCCACTTCTGACCTAGTCCTCCTGCCTGCCTCTCCCCACTCCTAACAACCTCCCCCAGCTATACAGTCCCACCTCCATCATACTCTGAGCATGCTCCTCACAGCTACCCTCCTATGCTTCAGCAAGGAGCAAGGTCCCCAAAGGGACCCCCAAACACACAGTGCTCGCCCAGACAGCTTTCTGTAGTACCTGGACCAAAGTGGGGACATTTAAACAGTTTTACCGGGACGTAATTTGGAGAGTCCATATAACCACCAGATCCTGGTTGAGGAGGAATGCCTCAGAGGAAGAGTGAAGGAAGAAGGAGAGACACATACACGTGTGGACTTACTGATTAAGTTTAAAAGCAGAAAGAGACTAACCTCTCATCTGCACTACCTTGTACAGTACCAAAAAACAGGGGGGAAAAAAAAGACTAAACTATCCTTTCTGCTTTTGCCTTTCCTTTATGGCCTAAACCAAATGCATGCCAGGAGAGCATTCACTTTTTTTTGTTTGTTTGTTTTAAACACACAAAGAACATACTATATCTAACAGTACAAGACACAGCTGACATTCAGGGGCACTTGCAGAAACAGCAGTGGTTTTTTTCCTCTGGCTTCATTCAGATTATATGAAAAACACGGAAAACAATGATTTTAACTGAACGGCTTGCCTAGTAAGCGCTACTTCAACACAGCTTCAGTTTCGCTGAGCTATACACAGAACTCAAGGTTTGCCAGCATAAGTCTTCTGCTATTCGAACATCCTTCCTTATTCAGTCCCACTCAACGCTCATTAGAATGCATATATTTTTAATGCCATGGATGTGTAAGGTATTTTTCTGGATTGATTCCTACCTAATAATGCTGAAAAGAAGCCTATGAAGTTGTGTAATTTTTCTGAAAGTAGACAATACAAACTTTTTTATCTCAGACTATTTTGTGAATTGCCAGGTCTGTGAATGTTTGACTAGAAATGAATCCTCTATAATACTTGTAGTCATTCTGAAGATTACAATTACGCTTTACAATTACAATCTTGGAAATTATAGATTTAGTAAAATCAATTTCTTCATTCTTCTATCAATAGTTATAATAACAACAGAATTAAGTTTCTTTTGGTTAAAATGTAACCTTCGTTGGGTTTGACCAGAGCTTAGACATAACACCAAAGGCAGTTAAGCAACGGAGATAAAAGCCAGTATTCTGAAGTGTTCAGCTCAACCACCTCTGCCTAATACCTAAACACCAGAGCTTAACTTGGACCTTTAGCAATCTCTCTGTCAGGGAATACAACTCTATCAAGAGGAAGACCATCATGAGATGGTCATGAGAGAGATGAGGACTACATGCCCTCCAAGTTGCATGTACAACTTTATAACACGTGCACTAACAGGTCTGCCAACATGGAGGCACAAAGAGGACCAAGCTAACCATAATATACCAAATAGGGCATACAAGAGCAGAAAGCAAGGGCAATTACAATGAGTTCTATTATTACTATTAAGTATTAAATATATATCTTTTTAAAACAAAGCATTGCCTTTTAAACCTATGGTTTCCTTTACAATTGAAAAAGCAAATTTCTTCAGCTGGAATCTGATCAGTTACATGCAGTGACTTTAACGAGGTCCGTTAAACTGAAAAATACTATAATGCATATGCTATCAACATTACAGCACATATACTCATATACCAAATTAAGGATCGTTTTGCTTTGACCATGACATTCACTGAAGCCGCACTTTGTTAAGTGCTAGTCAAATTTAATGAACATGAAACTTTTCAAGAAGACCAATTAACTCTAGGGAGGTAGCTGTTATCAGCTTTGCCAATACAGACATCTACTGTTAGTGCCCTCTTATTTAGCAAGCTTTTCCAGAACTTCATTTCTAAAATGAAGCATTGTACTCAGTGCAGAGCTACATACTTGGAATCAATTTACATGAAAACAAATTCAGAAACATTCTGGTAGGCCTTTAGCATACATAGTAATCAAAACCACTTGGACATAATTTTGCCTGCAGAATGCACACAGGCCCAAGAATTGAGACAGCTGGAAAGATCACATAGGCATACTGGCAAGCATCTCCTCCTTACCACAAGCATGTTATTTGCAAAATATTCTTACAAATAGAGAATCAAATTTCATTATTGTGCAGGCTCCTTTCTATAATTCTCTTTGAAATAAACAACTCTTCTAACAAATAAAGTAACATTGAGCAGGCATTCTTACCATTTTGATTGGGTTCTCCTTGCTCTGACCCTTTTCTCAGTGGTAGAACTGCCTCACCTGGCACTCTAGGACTTTCCACATACTTGGGCTTCCTGATCGGACCTGCAGTGGGAAAGAGCTGAGTGCATCCAATTTTTTTCCAGATGGGCTGCAAGTTTCAAATGTACTGTGTGTATCCTCAAAGATCTAAATAAAGTAGAACAACTGTTTCTTACACATACAGTCGCAACAGTAAAGTCTAGAGAACTGCTGCACTTCTACTCTTGTAAGAAAGCAAAGCTCTGCTTGGGCTCACTTTTTGGAATGTAAACTCTGCTGGAAAACAAAAGCGCTCTACTTGCTGAGACAATCCTGAAACAGTTTCCTGCATATGTAAAGTGAGCAACTTTTTCATTTTCAAACTTAAGACAGCTTTCTATGTGCCTCTTTTACTCAGAACTTTTATTTTCCATTTCAACAGGAAGATAATATTGTTATTAGCATCTCTGAAGCTAAGAGAAAAAGATTACAAGCAGATAGCTTGCAACATTAATACAATAAAAAAATTCAAACCCAAGAAGCATTATATTACTGGGTAGTTTCTCCCAACTACTGATGCGTGCTCTGATTCTAAGGAAAGGTGAGGGTATGCTCAAAAAAAAGTGATAGTGGCAACTGATGGCTTTGCTATCATAAAACAGTGTCTTCCTAGTCCACGTACACATTAAGTTCAAATATATCACCTTCTAGTATTTAAAAAAAACTGTGAATATACATGCATGCTTATTAAAAATTAATTTGATATATTCTATACTCTTTCAGTTTTATGCTTTGTTTTAAAGTTGCTTACCACTGAATACAGTTTAGTATCAACCACAGGAAACATTACATGTACAATGGTATTTCTGGCCAGCAAAGTACCTAACAGAGTAAGAATGATGCTGCCCTCTAAAGGTTTACCAGAAAAAGGATACTGGTTCTATTAAGTCAACATCAGCTTGCAATACAACACAAATCGAAGGCTGAAATCTACAGCCCAGCAAGGTTTCAGTCTTCACCAGGCGCATCTAAATAGTACTAAAGTTACTAAGTACTAACTTATATCAACAATATGTATACAAGTCTTGTTTCCCGGATCTTTTACATGCTGAAGTGTATTACAGTTTGTTTCCAAGTTACATATTTTGTTTATAATCCAGAATTAAAAGTACATTCAGAAGTACCTGTTAAAAGCACTTAGAAAGTCTAAGGCTTTAGTAAATCAGTCTTCAAGTCATGCCAACCTTCGCCTTTCAAAAAATATTCCTTTCCGATCCTTTATTTAATCAAATTTATGACAGACTTGAAAACAAAACAAAATCCCAAGATCCCAGCCAAGCATCTTTCCTGGTTGAACTGGTTGTGTTGGCATTGACATGCTTTTAAGCAACCGAAGCTCTAGGATCCACTCCCATAGAAGTGTTTCCAAGCTCCACCTTTCATCAGTAATAAGGTGATGTTCTAGTTTCTTCCATCTCCCACTAATAAACTACTGGCAAGATTACTGGGTGGTCTTTTATGAATAGAAAACAATCAATACAACAATACACAGTACTCAAGAACAATAAGCCTTTTAAGCAGAACTACGACACTGCTGCAGAATACAGATTTCATTATTATGACACTTTGTAATTCTTAGGTAGTTTCACTTCTTGCCACTGCCAGTTGCAGAACTGGGGACCAGGCGACGGAAAGCTTTTTGCAAACAGTTTAACTTATGGTTTAGGAGACATGAAACAGCAGGCGGCCAGGAGAGGCTCCCATTCAGGATCTGAGTAGCAGTTACTTCTGCGTCCATGCTGTAAGTGCGAGCGCCAGAAATCGGGTCTTGCACACTGGCAGGTGCCCTCTCCGGAGTGCCAGTGCTAAAGCCTGCGAACCGCCAAGAAAGCTAGAGACATTTGCATGTGAACCGAAGACAGTTCACAGCACGTTTTTGGTAGTGGGAAACGTGTCCAGGATATCCCACCCACTCCTCCAAACGGAGCTGTGCACCAGCTGAATGACTTCAGTCCTTCCTTCCCTCACAATGTCTTGGGATCAGCGACGCTTCCACTAACGAAGCGGCTGTGCTCAGGTACCCACCACTGACAGTTTCCGTTTTCCTCTACCGTGGGGAATCTGTTCACTGAAGGGAGATAGGACATTTCATGGGGTCCCCAAGGAACACTATGCCCTACTAGAGTGACGTTTAAGGAGTGCCTCCATAAAATAAGGAAAACATCCCAGGAATCAAGTTTTATCATAGTGTTTTGTGTATTCTAACCACCATTGATAAAGACAAAAATTTTGGGCCTAGTTTATAAACTTTCTCAACTTACCCATTTTAATCACAATAGTACAGAGAATCCCACTTAGGGAACTACTGTAACTGACCCAGCACAAAACAAATCTTAATCAGTCCTCTAACATGACTGCTCGTAAGTCCACATAGTGATTTTACATGTCTATAATATGCTTATTTTTCACCAGTGTATCTTCACGAGTTTGCCTGCTATAATCTTAAAGTAATTTTTAAAGAGCAATACTTTTGGTAGAAGTACTTAGTATTTATAATTTACAAAGATTGCACATAAAACTAAACTGATATTAAAGATATTTTTATGACAGTTTGTAGTCTTTCAATCCCTTAAGCTTATTGAATAATAAATTGGACACTTTTTGACTGAGAAATCATGCATTTCTGAACAGACAGGAGTGAAGAAAGGTTTCAGATAAGTAATCTTTTATGTAGAAACTAGAATACTGTGAACTAAGTGCCAGACTTTCAAAGCCGATTTTACAAATATAACTTCACCAGTTAAAGACTTATATAACAAGCAGAGTTCTTCCCTCAATTCCTACAGAAACCAAACTAAAAAACAAAGAAAGGGGATTAAATCGCTATTAAGCGAAATCTTCCCTTCCCACAAAAAGTTCACAAACTTCTCAGGTTCAAGTATAAGTCTCACGCCATGAGAGAGCTCCATTAGCTAATGAACTTACGCTAGAAAACAAAAATCAAAGGCTACTGGTAAATTCTCAAAGAATTGCACAAGTAATTTTTCACTATTTCTGGAGCCAATATTTGTCAATCATGACGATTCCACAGCATTTACAGCTACTTCTTCTTTCAGTATATATGGTCAGTTACAGCAACATACAGGAATGTTACTGCAGCATTTGACAAATACTGATTTTAATTAGCTTTACAATGAGGTTTCAAGAGAGCAATGAAGGGTGCACGTAACAGTTATTTTCCTTAAGTCAAATATCTCTGTTTACTCTAATTTACACAATATAACCAAAGAGTTTTCCAACCAAGGGATACGAATGTCCAAAAAATCCCCCAAAACAACGTGAGGGTCCACCTAATGTAAAACTGATAACTTTAAAATGAAAAAATATATATATACTGGAATTAGAGAAAGATGACCAAAATAAGTACAAATTGAATTTTAGCCCTACAGAATAACAATCACATTGTGTCTTAAGTGCTACTTTGCCACTTCAGGCCTTCAAGTCTCACTTTCCTCCTTTCATACCAGTAACACAGGGCATTTACCTACCTCTCAGAGAATTTAACATTTAAAAGTGTTTGCAGTGTTCGGATAAAACAAAAATGGCTTTCCAGTTATTCTTGGTATAGTGTGTGCAGTCTCCACACTCCACAGAAACAATTCCAGCAGGCTGGCTTCAATTCTCTTTTCCTCCTCCCTGCCAGTATATAATTTCGGACTGCACTTTCAGTTTTCAGTTTTTCCTCCTTTTCCCAGCCCACAGATCTCCCTCAGTAACAAAGCAAATCCTATTCAGAAAGCATCTTCGAAAGAGACTGCAGGACTGATGCTAACTATACTGCCCAGCCTTTCTTCGGGTGTTTGTCCCATCTTCAGTTTGGGTCTTCAAACAGTACCCTTGTACATGGCTCAAAATTCAAGGGCACATCGAAGTTCTCTGTGACATCCCGCATTTTGTTCATTACAACATATGACAGAACATTCAAGCTGTGACAATTGCATAAAAAGTGTCCCATCCTTCATTTTGGTGGCAGCCTCAGGTACCACATTAAGTCTCTGAAAACTACACTGATTTCTTTCTTATTTTCACGTGTAATTTAAGGCTGACAACTGCTTTTAAAGGGACGTTACAGTTCTAAAGTCTGGCTTTAGGCTCCCAAGGTAACACACTACTCTGCAAGATACCAGAAAAACCATGGCTGGCTAGATCACAGACCTCCATAAACTGTGCCCCAGGTAGATGACTTGGTTCTATAACAGCACTTGAGGCATTTCATTCCTGGACCTATCTTTTCTTTCAGATTTCCACCTAAGAGTGGAAACTCTGAATATGGTGACAACTTAATTTTTTAGCTAAGAAATAAGGGGTAGGGAATTTAAGTTATGTATGAACATATTTCTCCCTAGAGATTGAAATTACAATTTATAACTAAAATGCAGCTTATTTGCCAACTACCACCAGAGGGTGCTCTTTCAACACGACATCATAAAGAAAAAATGGGCTATTTGCCTTGGTGGAAGCAACTAAAAAATACATTCCTTTGAAATAAAACCACATTCTTGAAGGAGACAATAGCCCAAATCTCTCAAATGTAAGCAGAACTATATTTAGATGCATCAAAGGTGAATAACAAAAAGCAACCATTCTAAAAGAACCGAAACAATATGTTACAGTCACGTAAACAGGATCAGAATCGACATACCTTCAGAATGTATTTTTAACACTCACACTTTCAAAGTTGTGAAGCAAGTCAGACCCTTCATTGAACTTTCTTCCTCACGAGCTCATTTAGAAGTGACTTCCAATGCCTTCAATTCTGATAGGCAACATCACTACGTCAGTAACTGCGAAAATTCATGGTAAGTGTACTTTCCTGGGCTGCTCTACAATAGGACACATGAACTCATCCATGGATGAAAAAATACCCATTTGAATGTGAAGTAGATCGGCAAAATGGAAGCTCTTCAAAAGTATAAGGTGGCTGTATTAGGTCATAAAGGCTTCATCTAAGACAGTACTTTATCAGGAAAAGATATTAGACGGGCCAACCAAGAGCGATGCACAGCTGCACCTGCTATTCACGA